GCGACGGCGTACGCGAATCGAATCGCGGAAGCCGCGGAGACGGAGCGCGGCGCCCCCGAGGGCGGCCCGCCGTTGCTGCTCGCGCACTTCTACTGCAGGTACCTCGCGGACCTCTTCGGCGGGAGCGTGCTCGGGTGGCCGACGAAGCGCGCGCTGCGATTGCGTCGCGTCCCCGCGTTCTACGAGCACGACGAGGCGGTCGTCGCGGCGCGGAGGCCCGAGTACGTGGAGTCCGTGTACGAAGCTCTGAACGACGCGGGGGCGGGGTTGTCGGAGGCGTGGACGGCGGACGTCGTGCGCGAGTGCGAGACGGCGTTTAAGTTGAACGCGGAGGTGTTTAAGGAGGACGGGAGGGATTCGTCGTTCGGGGCGTTTCTCGGCGGCGTACACGTCTTGCGAGGATACGCGATGGAGCGGATATGGGGATCCGGCGCGGAGGGACCGCGGGACATCTTCGGACGGCTCGTGAAGCGGAAGAATAACTTTTCGACGCGGTTCCACCACGGCGAGGAAGTCGCGCGGACGGGGTACATCAAACCGCCGCCGGCGACGAAGAAATGAAGCGAAGCGAACGATGAGAGAGAGAGGGGACACGCCGCGTTCGCGAAACTTTAGTCTATTTCGTCTCGTTGGGGCGGTGTGATGTAGTACGATACGTTTCATCAGACTAAAAACGCATACGGGATCATGCTCCGCGTGCGTTGATTGGCTCGCGAGGATGCTCCGAGCAGAGAGATACTTTTTCGGCCACCTTAGCGTCAGGTCGTCACCGAATCGCGGGGTCATATCCTCGACGCACGGCGCGCGACGCACGCCCGTGCAGACGCGGGCGCGATGTCCAGCACGATGTGCGCGACCGCGGCGAGCGCGCGGTGGGTCGCTCGCGACGGCGCGACCGCGACGCGCGGGCGCGATCCGACGCGGCGTGCGATAAAAAAGGCGCAGCAGGTCGATTGGAGCGCGATTGGAGGACGGCGAGCGAATCGCGCGCCGAGGCGAGGCGCGCGCGTGATCGTCGCCGCGGAAGAGGAGGTCGGGACGAGGGTGGAGACCATGCAGGGCAGCGCGGAAGAAATCGCCGCGGGCGTCGAGGCGATGAAGACCGCGCTCGCCGCCGCGGACGCGCCGGAGTGCGACGAGGCGACGATGGTGTGGTTCCTTCGCGACCGGAAGCTCGACGCGGACGCGGCGTCCGCGAAGCTCATCAACTTCCTGAGATGGAGGAAAGAGTTGGGCGCGATCACGGACGAGGACGTGCGATCGTCGTTGGAGCAAGGCGCGGCGTACGTCCACCCGCACCTGGACAAGGAAGGCCGCGCGTGCATCGTCGTCGAGGTCGCGAAACACGTCATCAAAGACCGCGACTTGGAGATCTCGAAAAAACACGCCGTGCGAGCGGTCGAGCAGTGCATCGAGATGATGGAGGCCGCGCCGAACGGCAGCGAGAGCATATACGCGGTGTGGGACATGCAAGGCTTCTCCGGCGCGAACGCGGACTTGGACCTCGCGAAGTTTTGCATCCTGGACGTGTTTCGCGAGTATTACCCCAAGCGGCTGTCGCAAGTCGCGGCGATCGACTCGCCGTGGACGTTCAAGCCGGTGTGGACGATTTTGAAGCCGCTGATCGGGAAGTACAGCAGCGTGGTGCAGTTCGTCACCGCGAAGGAGGTGATCGAGAACTTCAACCCGGGCGAGGCCCCGAAGTGTCTCGCCGGGGACAGGGTTTAGCTCGACGCTTTTGAAATATTTCGATTCGATTTTATTTTCCAATCGACTCGTTCTATCGCACCGTCCTACCGTGCCCACGCGGGCGACTCGCCCGCCCGCCCGCCCGACCGACTACCTAACGCGTCCCTTCCTTCGCCCGCGCTCCCTCGTCCGGCCCTCCTCCCTCCGACGCCTCCTCGCGTCGCTCCGCCTCCGCCGCCTCCGCCGCCGCCGCCGCCGCCGCCGCCTCCTCCTCGACTCGCGCCTTGTACGCGCGCGCGTTCGCCGCCAACGTCCGCCACTTCTCCACTCGCTTCTCCTGCCGCTCGATATTGCGCTTCGTGCGATTCTCTCGGTTCACGGTCGCGTTCCATTGAATGAACGCCGCCTTCTCGCGCCGTCGTCGCCACTTGTTCCGTGTGCCGTGTTTCGGGATGTTCAGGACGTGGTAGTCGTTCCGTGGGAGGATCTCCTTCCCGTCCGCGTCGAGCTCGCGCAGGTCCGGGTCGTTCCACGCGTCCGGCGGGCGCGCAGCCTCGGGGTACTTCGTGTGGTACGGCCCGTACGCGCGCGTCTGTTGCGCGGAAAGGAAGGGCGAGGCCGTCCACGCGCGGTGACGCGTCGCGGCGTTCGCCTCGACGCGTCCGATCGCTCCGCGGTTAGGGTTCCGCTCGCGCGCGAGCGCGGAGGCGGACGCGGCGAGGCCGCGGGGGGTCTCGGACGCGGCGGACGCGCGCGACGCGACCGCGGCCGCGGCGCTCGAGAGCCGCCGCAGCGTCGACGCCTTCGTCAGCGCGTTGAACATCCGCGCGGATCGCGCGTGCCGAGGGCGCGTCGTTCTGTGCGCGCGGGCGATCGGATCAATCTGTTCGTCCTCGGAAAACGAACTCTCAACGAGCGAGCGCGCGCGTGTTTCATTCAGCGTCCCCGCGCTGGATCGACCTCGTCGGCGTTCACTCGTCGCCGCGCGCGCGGTCGTCCTCGTCGTCGACCGCCGCGATGGCCTCGAGCGAGCCGCTCGGCCCATGGACGAAAGCCGGAATCGGCGCGCTCGCGGGACTCGTCGAAGTGAGCTGTCAGCAGGTGCGCTGCGCTCGCCGTCGGGTGCCGAGCGACGGAGATGAATGAATGATGAACGCAGCCGTCGCCGTCGCCGTCGCCGTCCCGTCCCCGCCGCGTCGTCCTCCGACGCCGACCGCCGACGCCTTCCCGTTCCCCTCCCTCCCCCTCCCCCTCGCAGCCGCTGCACGCGCTAAAGAACTGCGTCCAGGACGGACGCCGGTTCCCGCTCGCGAACCCGATCGCGTGGTACCGCGGATGGCTCGCGTGCGTCTGCGTCTCCGCGCCGACGACGGCGACGCAGTTCGGCGGAGGCGCCGCGTTCGCCGCGCTCGCGTCGTCGTCGCAAACGCCGCGCGCCGACGCCGGCGCGGTCGGCGCGGCGAGCGCGTTCGCCGCCGGCGCGGCGAGCGGCGCGGCGCTCAACCCGTTCGACCTGGGCGCCATCCAACAGCAGAAACACGGCGGGTCCCTGCCGGGGACGGCGCGACGACTGATACGCGAGCACGGGGTCGGGGTTCTGACGCGCGGGGGGATGGCGACGATGGCGAGGGAGGGGACGTACGTCCTCGGGTTCATGTGGGCGACGCCGCTCATCGCGCGGCGGCTCGCGGAGCGCGGCGACGCCGCCGACGGGGACGTCGGCGCGTCCGCCGTCGCCGTCGGCGACCGTCTCGCCGCGTCCGTCGTCGCCGGCGTCGCCGCGAGCGTCCTGACGCAGCCGTTCGACGTCGTGAAGACGCGCATGCAGGCGAACCTCGGGGAAGGCGGCGGCGGGGACGGGGGGTATCGGCGCGTCGCGGCGGCGGTGTTTCGCGAGAGAGGCGCCGCGGGGTTGTGGCTCGGTCTCCTCCCCCGGGCGCTGCGCGTCGTCGGCGCGACGTTCATCGTGTCGTCCGTGGACGCGAACGCGAGCGCGATGGTGGCGACGCGGCGCGCGACCGCGGGGTCGTAGCACGTCGGGCAGGGGACGAAGGCGGCCCCTCGCGCCGTGGGCGCTCTGCGTCATACTGTAGTTTATTAGAAATCGCGTCAGCGGAGTTAACAATTATCGCGACGAAGACACACCTCGCCGCGCGCTCGTCGGGATGTCGCGCGCGATGGCCGCGTCGCGCGCGTGGCACGCGCCGTCGCGGTCCGCGCGCGCGCGCGCGATCACGACGCGGTGGACCCGCGACAGTTCGCGCGCCGCCCGAGGCGGCGGCGTCGACGCGATTCTCCCGTCGTCGCGACGTCGTCGTCGCGCGCGGGAGGGCGCTCGACGCGCGCTCGAAGCCGCGCCGAGCGACGGCGGCGGCGGCGGCGAAGTCGCCGCGGGCGCGAGCGACGCGGGACTCGAAGCCGCGCGCGAGGCGCAGGCGGGTCGTCTGCACCGCTTCTACACGGTGCGCGCGTTGACGGCGTCGACCGCACCGATCCGCTCGTCCCTCCGAAACGCGTCGAACGTCCCCGCCGATCCACGCGCGACGACGCGTCGTCCAACGTCCGCATCCATCATCCGTCCGTCCGACCCGTCCCCTCTCTCTCGTTCACAGGACGACGCGATCCCGTCCTCGGGCGGAACGCTGACCCTCGGCCGCGACGAGTCCAGGCACGCGACGAGAGCGCTCCGACTGAAGCCCGGGGACCGCGTCGAGGTGTGCGACGGACGCGGCGCGACGGCGACCGCGGAGCTGTTGCCGTACTCCTCCTCCGGCGGCGGCCGCGGCGGGGGCGTCGTCTCCGTCGCGTGCGTCGGCGACGCGACGCGCGCGGCGTACGACGGCCCGAGGTGGGAGGTCGCGGTCGCGTGCGGTGGGCTCAAGGGAGGACGCGCGGACTGGCTCGTGGAGAAGCTCGCGGAGCTCGGCGCGGCGTCGCTCGCGCCGACGCTCACGGCGCGCAGCGCCGTCGTGGGCGGCGGCGGGGAGGGCAAGAAGGGCAAGAACCGCGAGAACGGTAAGAAAGGGAAAGGGGCGAAGTCTAGAGGAAAGAATGGGGGCGCGGACGACGACGACGACGACGACGACGACGACGACGACGACGACGGCGGCGGCGGCGGCGACGGCGGCGGCGAGACGAAGCGCGGGCGAGAGGGCCGGTGGGTCCGCGTCGCGGCGGCGGCGAGCAAGCAGTGCCTGCGGACGCACGCGCTCGTCGTCGAGAGCCCGTGCGCGTTCGACGCGCTGCTGCGACGCGTGCGCGACGCCCCCATCGCGCTGCTCGCCGCCGCGGGCGCGCCGCCGCTTCGGGACGCGCTTCGGGACGCGGACGTCGACGACGGCGACGACGGAGAGACGGCGTCGGGGCCGGGGCGGGGCGCGACCGGGGGGCTGTTGATCGTCGGGCCCGAGGGCGACTTCACCGAGGACGAGCTCGGGGCTCTGATCGACGCGGGGGCGACGCCCGTGGGGTTGGGGCCGCTCAGGTTGAGGGTGGAGACCGCGGCGGTGGCGTTGATGGCGTGCGTGGGGATGATGCACCCGCGGAAGCCTCCGCCGGGGTGTTGAGGCGCGGCGTCGTCGTCGACTCGGTTTTGCCGCTGGCACGCAGTGCATCATCACGGTGCCAACTTTTAAAAGCGACTTGACGACGCGTCTTGTCATTATTCAATTCCTCCGTTGACTCGCTCGCACTCGATCTCGCGCCGCGACGCGTCATGACGGCGTCGACTTCCCCCCCCGCGTCGCCCCCACCCGCGGGCGACGACGAGGCGTACGCCGCGATGCGAGCCCAGGTCGAGGCCGCCACGGACGCGCTCCGCGAGGATCTTCTCGCGACGGCCGCGGAGATGAAATCTTTCACCGACCTCGCCGGAGGCGAGGACGTTCGCGAGCTCCTCGCGATGCGCTTCGGGATCGAGGAAGAGATGGCGTCCCTGCGGAGAGAGACGCGACGGCTGGAAGCGATCGCGGAGCTCGGGAGTATGGAGGCCGCGGAGACGGACGGCGGCGACGACGAGGACGTCGAGACGCGACGCGCGGCGTCGAGAGCGCGGCTCGCGGCGATGGAAGCGACCGCGGACGAGGACGCGGCCGCCGCGCGCGCGGCGTTCGTCGCCGCGAGAGACGAGAACGGCGGGTCCGACCCCGCGTCGACGTCGTTCGACGCGTTCGACGGCGACGACGAGGAGGCGTTGGACCGCGCGATCGCGGAGATGGACGAGAGGCTCGACGCCGCGCGCGCGTCGAGGAACGAGATGGTCACGAGAAGGAGAGAGCTCGAGGCTGAGCTCGACGCGTTCGTGCTCATGGCGCGTGAGGACGAGGCCGAGGAGGGGGCCGCGGGGGAGATCGCGCGGGCGTTTCTGAAGCAGCCCGCGGGGGGGGCGGGGAGGGAGGCGGCGCGACGCGACGCGATTCGCGGCGGCGGCGACGAGAGCGAATCGAATTCGACGACGGATCGCGCGACGACGCCGCCGCGCCCTCCGGTGCGGTAGGAGTTCTCATATCATCTAACGCTTGACCCACTGGAACGCCTTCCTCGCCTTCTTCCGCCCCGGCTTCTTCCTCTCCACCATCCTCGGATCCCGCGTGAGATACCCCGCACGCTTCAGCGCCGGCCGGAACGACGGCTCGTACAGCTGCAGCGCTCGCGCGACGCCGTGTCGAATCGCCTGCGCCTGCCCGCTCAGCCCGCCCCCTCGCACGCTCGCGACCGCGTCGAATAAACCGATCGTCTTCGTGAGCACAAACGGCGACAGCGCCCACCCTCTCTCGTTGATGTCTAAGATGTACTCGTCCAACGGCTTGTGATTCACGAAGAACACGCCGGTGCCCGGTTTGATCGTGACGCGCGCCGTCGCGGTTTTTCGTCGACCCGTCGCGCCCGACCTTCCCTCCTCGTCCCTAACGCTCACCCTCTTGAGCTTGTCCTCCTTTTGTTTTTTCATCTCCAAGATGCGCCGCAGCATCCGTCGCTTCGACTCCTCCGTCTCCGCGTCCTGGAGCTCCTTCAACGTCGGGAAGTCACCAGCCCCGACGTCGCGCGCGTGGCGCTCGCGGCGTCTCTTCTTTTCGTCGTCGTCGTCGTCCCCCGAGAGTCCGTCCAGTTCGCTCCAGTCCAAGGGCAGGTTCTCCATCTCCTCGATCGTCTCCGCGGTCATGCCCTTCAAGTGTCGCTTGGCCCCGGCCGGGGGGAGCTCGCCGTACCACACGGTGGGATCCGCGGGCGGGTCTGCGGAGCGACGGGGAGGAGAGATCGGTCGACGTGAGTTAGGGTTCGCGCGAACGAGAGGGGGGGAGGATCGACGACGACGCGAACGATCGCGCGCGAGGGACCGGGCGGGGACGCACAACTGGTGTGCTTGCCGCTCCCGGGAATGTAGTTGTCGATGACCTCCGACATCGGCACGATCTTCTTTATCTTTCGCAGGTACTGGTCCGGGAGCCCCTCGGCGCCGTGGCTCTTGGGGAACGGGAATCGCTTGAACGCGGAGACGTCGCGCCTCTGCTGCGCGTCGCGATCGAACGGGCTCTTCTCGACGCGGTCGCGCGCGATGACGCCGCGCGCGAGGGCGTGCATCGCCCTCGCGCGGTCGGAGAAGACGCACGGTTCGCATCGAGTCGTCTCGCCGACGCGCCGGGCGACGAGCCCGGCGACCGCGGACGCGAGCTTCCTCCTCGGGGCGCTCATCGTTCTGGCGGAGGGTGGACGGTGGCGCTCGTCAAGATGGCTGAAGTCTCATCGCAAAAAAAATGAAACGCCATATTCTCTCATTACAAGCGGCGGTCGTTCAATAAACACTGTACGCGCGAACGTCACACGATAATATCTCCTCCTCGTTTCGCACTCCCTCCTCGCTCGTCGCTCAAAGCTTGCGTCGCTTGTATCGGATCGTGCACGGGTGCTTGGGCCCGACGACCATGCCCTCGTAGTCCGGCTCCGGGAGTTTCCCGACGAGCTCGAACTCAAAGTTTCTCAGGAGGATGCTCCAGATGGTCTTGATCTGCATGAACGCGAACGTCTCGCCCATGCACCCGTGCCTCCCGCCGCCGAACCCGATGAAAGACGCGAACTTCTCCTTATCCTCCGGCGACGGCTGGCGGAACCGCGACGGCTTGTACGTGTCCGCGTCGCTGAACACGTTGTTCAGGCGGTGCGAAAACGCGGGCGACGTCGCGACGATGTGCCCCTTCGGGACGACGAACTCCTTCCCCTTGGACGTCGTCACCTTGAACGGCTTGTGGCACTGCCTCAGGAGCATGATGAGCGGCGGGTGCATCCGCAGCGCTTCCTTGATCGCGTAGTGAAGCTCGTCCATCTCCGCGAGAACGTCGAAGTCGATCTTCCCTCCGTGCTTCTCCATGACTTTTTTCTGCTCGCCCTCCAGCGTCGGCATGACCCTCTCCTTGTTCGCGATCGTGAGCAGACCGGTCCACGTGGACGTGATCGAGGACGTGTGCTGTCCCGCGAAAAGAACCGCGATGAGCATGCCGAGGACTTGGTCGTTCGTCAGACGGCTGCCGTCGCGATACCGCGCGTCGATGAACGTCTGGAGCACGTCCGGCTCGTGCGCGTTGGCCTCGCGTCTGGCTTGAATCACCCGGTCGAAGATGGCGGCGAGGTCTCTGCGCGCCGCGTCGCGCTTCCGGTGCGCCTCGATCGGGGCGTACGGGAAGAAAACCGACAGAGGGACCATGCCCTTATCGAGGTCGTGCACGAGCGTCGTGACCTCCGAGAACAGCGTCTCGCGAATCTCCCTGCCGAGGAGGCACCGCGACGCCGTGAGGACGATGAGCTCGGAGAGCGCGTCGAGCAGGTCCACCTCTCCCGACTCGCCCCACTTCCCGAAGTAATCCTCCGCCTCCTTGACCATCATCCCGACGTACGAGCGAAGGCGGTCGGACTTGAGCGAGTCCGCGAAGAACCGGAACTGCTCCGCGCGCGTCAAGTGGTCGACGTCGAAGACGACGCCCTTGCCGAACGTCGGGACGTTGAACTCGTACACCTCCTTCTGCGACATGTCCGCGTCTCTCGCCTTGAAAAAGTGTTCGCTGACGTGCGGGCCGATGAGGAACGTGATCCTCTTGTGGAACACCGGGACTGCGGGTTGGTTGGATCGGGGGGGCGGGGAGGGGTGGGGGAGGAGGACGGGGCGTCAGGTGGGACGCGGCGTCCGCGCGAGGAGGGGCCATCGCGAACGATCTTAACGGCCGACGGCGGCGTGCGATGGAGGAGGGGGCGTCAGGTGGGACGCGCCGGCCGCGCGAGGAGGGGCGCTACCGATCGATCTTAACGGCCGACGGCGGCGTGCGATCGAACATTTCGAGTGACGTGTTCGGCGCGCGATCGACGAAGATCGCCCTCGCGGACGCGCCGGGCGTCTTCTCGAGACGCGACGCACCGGTGAAGACCTCGCCGTACTTCGGGAACGCGTTGTTCATCAGACCGATCGGCCCCTTGAGGAACTGGATCATCCCGCCTATCACGGGCCACGTCCCGATCACGGGCGGGGACTTGAACGGCTTCAGGACGACGTGCGAGAGCGCGTCGAAGACGACGAACAGGACGACCGCGGCGACGAGCGCGACGGGGAGCAAGCCCCACGCGGGGACGCCGACGAACTCGGTGACTTGCGCGAGGACGTCCATTTTGTCGTGTGCGAGGCGACGTTCGCGATGCGCGCGAGGGTGTGCGGTGCGCCGCGGGGGGAAGCCGGATACCGGATGCGCGTTGCGATCGACGCGCGAGGGAGCTTCCTGGGCCACCAATTTTCGCGAGATTCGATCGTGACCGATTGCTCATACGACGTCCGCGCGTGTACTCGTACTACGCTACGCGCCGGACGGATCTCGGAAAACAGCGAGCGAATTCGTCAGAGCTCTCGGACGCACGCGCTGACGGCGGCGTCTCGCGCGCGAGATGGACCACGTCGCGTCGCTCGCGTCGCGAGCCGCGACGCTCGCCCGCGTCGACGCGAACGCGCGCGCGGGCGCGACGTCCTCGTCCTCGTCATCTCGCGGCGGCGGACCTTCCTCCGTCGCGATCCGACTCGGGTGCCAATGCCCTAGGCCCCGCCGCGGGACGAAGCGAGACGCGCGCGTCCGTCTCGCGTCGACCGCGTCGTCCCGCGGCGGGTTCGCGCTCGCGCCGAGCGGGCTCGCGCCCCCGGGGATCTCCTCGCCGCTGCCGACGCGACGCGCGCGCCGTCGTCACGACGGCCGCGCGCCGTGCACGCCGAGCCGACGATGCGCGAAGTGCGAGGCGTTCTCGGACGGGCTCGGGTCGCGAGCCGCGGAGCTGCGAGAGTGCTGCCGCGAAGCCGCGGCGAGGGCGGCGAGGAAGGACACGCGGAAGACGCTCGTCACCGCCGCAGCGGTCGCGGGCGTCGCGACGGCCGCGTACGTCGCGTACGGCGGCGGCGGCGGCGGCGGCGGCGGGAACGGCGGACGGTTCGGCGGCGGCGGCGGCGGCGGCGGCGGCGGCGGCGAGCGATCGACCTCGCGCGTCCACGCGTCCGGGGCGACGTCGTTCGAGGAGACGGGCGCGCCCGCGACGGGTTTCCTGGAAGAGGTCGTCATGCTCGACGTGCGGGGGATGCACTGCGGCGGGTGCGCGGCGAACGTTCGAAGGATACTCGAAGAGGACGGAAACGTGAGAGCCGCGAGCGTGAACCTCGCGAACGAGTCCGCGCTCGTGCGCGTGGGCGTGGACGTGGGGGATGATGGCAACGGCCCTCCCGGGGCCGTTTTCGAAGACAAAGTCGTGCGCGCGGTGCGGAAAATAGGCGACGCGCTCGCGGAGCTCGTCACCGCGAAAGGGTTCCCGACGTCCGTTCGAGAGGCGTGCGGCGTCGCCGTGAGCGGCGTCACCGCCGCCGCCGCCGCGTCGTCCAAGCGCGAGGAACGGCTTCGAAGGATCGAGGAGAGCACGAAGAGAGTCGTCGTCGCGTGGGCGCTCGCGGGCGCGTGCCTGATTGGTCACGCGAGCCACATGTTTCACGCGTCCGCGCCGTGGTTGCGGGTGTTTTGCTCCACGCCGGTGCACGCCGGGCTGTCCGTGTTCGCGCTCCTCGGCCCGGGAAGAGAGACGCTGACGGACGGGTGGCGGGCCCTGCGCGCGGGCGGGCCGAACATGAACACGCTCGTCTCGTTGGGCGCGCTCGCGTCGTTCGGGATGTCCACCGCCGCGGTGTTGCTTCCGCGGTTGCGGTGGCCGACGTTTTTCGAGGAGCCCGTGATGTTGCTCGCGTTCGTGCTGTTGGGGCGAGCGGTCGAGGAGCGCGCGAAGTTGCGGGCGACGAGCGACATGAGCGCGCTCCTGAACTTACTGCCGCCGACCGCGCGGCTCGTGCCCGCGGGGACGGCGGACGGGAAAGACGGTCGCGGCGGCGGCGGCGGCGGCGGCGGCGGCGAGTATTACCGAACCGTCCCGACGTCGGTGATCCAACCGGGCGACCACATCGTCGTCTTGCCCGGCGATCGCGTCCCCGTGGACGGCGTCGTCGTCGAGGGCGCGAGTCAGGTGGACGAGGCCGCGATCAACGGCGAGCCGATACCGCGCGCGAAACGCGCCGGAGACGACGTCGCGGCCGGGACGGTGAACTTGGACGGCGCCATCGTCGTCAAGGTGATCAACAGCGGCGAGGAGACGTCCATCGCGGGCATCGTGAGGATGGTCGAGGCGGCGCAGCAGCGCGAGGCCCCCGTGCAGAGGCTCGCGGACGAAATCTCCGGGAAGTTCGTGTACGGCGTCATGGGCGCGAGCGCGGCGACGTTCGCGTTTTGGTCCACGGTGGGCACGAAGCTGTTCCCCGCGACGCTCGCCTCCGCGGTTGTCGCCGGCGCGAACGGTCCGCTGCTTCTCGGTCTGCAGCTCGCCGCGAGCGTGCTCGTCGTCGCGTGCCCCTGCGCGCTCGGGCTCGCGACGCCGACCGCGGTGCTCGTGGGGACGTCGCTGGGCGCGCGGCACGGGTTGTTGATACGCGGTGGCGACGTGTTGGAGCGCGCGAACGAGGTGGACGCCGTCGTGTTCGATAAGACGGGCACGCTGACGTTGGGCAGGCCGGTCGTGAAGCGCGTGATCACGACGGAGGGGGGCGACCTCAGCGAGGACGACGTCCTCGCGCTCGCCGCGGCCGTCGAGAAGAACTGCCGGCACCCGCTCGCGCTCGCGGTCGTCGCCGCGGACGCCGCCGCGAACGCGAACGACGACGGCGGCGCAAAGAGGCGAAGACGACGACGCGAGCCGGAGGAGGGCTCGTTCGAGCAGACCCCGGGTTCCGGCGCGACCGCGGTCGTGGACGGGAAGACGGTCGCCGTCGGCACGCGCGCGTTCGCCGCGACGTCTTCCGCGCCGCTCCCCGCGGACGTCCAACGCGCGATGGACGCGGTGTCCCCCGGACGGACGCCCGTGTTCGTCTCCGTCGACGGCGCGGTGGTGGGCGTCATGGAGATGGAGGATCAGATTCGCGCGGACGCGAAGAGCACGATCGCGCGGTTGAAGAAGCGCGGGATGCGCGCGCTGTTGCTGTCCGGGGATAGACAAGAGACCGCGGAGAGCGTCGGGGCGGCGATCGGGATCGCGCCCGAGGACATCTACGGCGACGTTCGACCGGAGGGGAAGGCGGCGTTGATCGAGCGGTTGCAGAGCGCGGCGGGCGGAGGGAGAAAGGTGGCGATGGTCGGCGACGGGATCAACGACGCCGCCGCGCTCGCGATGGCGGACGTCGGGATCGCCATGGGCGGCGGCGTCGGCGCCGCGTCCGAGGTCGCGAGCATCGTGCTCCTCGGGGACAACCCCGCGCAGGTGTGCGACGCCATCGAGCTCTCGAAGGCGACGTTCGCGAAGATCAAACAAAATTTAGGGTGGGCGTTCGCGTACAACTTGGTGGGGATCCCGATCGCGGCCGGGGCGCTGCTGCCGGCCATGGGCGTCGCGCTGACGCCGTCCGTCGCGGGAGGGCTCATGGGGTTCTCGTCCTTGGGCGTCATGGCGAACTCGCTCGCGTTGCAGCTCGCGAGCAAGAGGTTGGGCGCGTTCACGGGCGCGGGCGCGCGAGACGACGACGCCGAGGGCAAGGGCGAGGACGAGGACAAGGACGACTAGACGAGTCAGCCTCGGGCGCGCGTCGCGGGCGAGCGAGGCGCGCTGTCGTACGTAAATCTCACGCCTCATCACATCAGTCACATCCCGCCCTCGTCCATTATCGCCGCTAAAACGTCCGCCACCCGCGCGTTAGCCTCCCCGAACGACAGCTTCTCGTTCACCTTGTCCCCCAGCGCCGTCTCGAGCGCGTCCAGGCTCTCCTGCGTCACCGACGGATCCTTCGCGGTGAGGTACGCGAACAGCGCGAGGAACTCCACGCCCGTGAGCTTCCCGTCCTCGCCGAAGACGTCGAACAGCGACGCGCAGATCCCCACGAAGCTCGCGTCCGTCATCGTGAGCAGGAGCGTCAGGGGCTCGGACGGCTTCACCGGCGCCGTGGAGCCGAATTCCCCCAACCTGAACGCGCGCTGCACGGTCGCGCGCGGGACGCCGGCGCCGACGCACACGCTCTCGAAGTCCGCGGCGCTGAGCTCGCCTTTCCCTTTCACCGCGCTGTACGCGTCCGCGAGCTGATGCACGGTCGGCGCGCTCGTGTCCTCGGGCGGCACCGCGGTCACGTCCGCGAGGTTCGCGAAGTAGTCCGCGCTGAACGCGTACACGTCCGCGGGCTGTCGTCGCACGACCTCCTTCGTGTACGCCTTCAAGACGTCCGCGAGGTCGGGAGGGACCGCGATCTGCTCCGCGCAGTAGATCGGGTCGAGGTCGAGCGGCATGACGAGAGGCGCGCGCGGAGGCGGACGGCTCTGCGCGACGAATTCTACCTGCCAAATCGGGCGAGCGCGTCTCGAAGTCAAACCGAGCGCGACGGGGCGATCGATCCGCGCGCAAACGACCAGGCGCGGGGCGCGGCCGCGCACGCTCGGCACGATGAGCGACGTCGAGGACGACTCCGACGTCGACGACGAGAAGAAGGTCGCGGCGGTTAAGATCCCAAAGGGGATCGAGTCCGTGTTCCTCACCGGTGCGCGCGCGTCGAAGCGTCGCCCTCGCGCGCGAAAACGACGCTCGCGCGACGTCGGATTTGACGACGATGCCCAAATTCGTCCTCCCGTCCCTGACGCCTCCCCCCCCCCACCCCCTTCTCATCCCACCAGCCGAAACGATGGGGATCGTCGGCATCCAAGACATGGGTCCGGATCTGCTGCTGAGCGCCGTCGCGAAAGAGGTCATCCAGGCCGACATCAAGTTTCGCGGGGCCGTCTCCGACTTTCACGGCGTCGCGAAGGCGATCAAGAAGGCGGACTGCGACCCGATCACGCTTCGGTACAACGCGGAGGATATCTACGGCGACGGGCACAACTTCCTGATCGCGACGGCGAAGAAACACGTCCCGAAGTGGGAGGAGTGGGCGGAGGAGACGAAAGCCGCGGCGATAGCGGCGGCGATAGCGGAGAAGGAGGCGGAGGAAGCCGCGGCGGCGGCGAAACCGGGCCGCAAGAAGAAACCGAAGCCCGTGAGCAAGCCGTGGGAGTCCCTGGGCTCGGAGGTCGAGATCGAGGAGGAGAGCATCCGACCGAGCGGCGAGGCGCCGACCGTCATCGACGTGTACCGCTCCCCGGAGGAGTTCGGGCGACCGTTCAAGTTTGACGACGCGGACGCGAACGAGCTGTTCAACTCGAGTCAGATGGAGTGCCGCCCGTACAAGGACACGACCGTGGAGTACACGACGCACCTCACGAAAGGCACGCAGGCGATCCCGGTGACCGTGGACGGCGGCGCGCAGGCGACGCCCCTCCCCGGGAAGCCGTTCGCGACGCAGTACGAGCCGCGGACGTGCACGGACGAGGAAGCCGCGGAGCAGCTGAAGGACCCGGCGCTCGGGGCGTTTTTGATGGACGTCACGAGCAAGGACGGTCTGATGACGTACGCGATGCAACAGAACGAGTGCTACGACATCTTCACAGACGACTTCGCGGCGCTCGCGGACGAAGACTCCACCATCGGCGGCGGCGGCGCCGCGGATCAAATCGTCGAGCAGCACGCGTTCACGGACTTGACGTACGGGAAAGGGAAGTGCGTCTCGTGCGTGGACTGGGTCCCGAATAAAATCGGCGAAGTCGCCGTCGCGTGCGTGGAGAACGCGTCGTTCGAGGAGAAGGTCGAGGCGTCGGGGCAGACGAGGACCGGCGCGGTGCTGATATGGAACTTCAAAGACCCGATCCACCCGCGGTACGTGTTGGAAGCCCCCGTGGACGTGTACTCGTTCGCGTTTAACCCCGTGAATCCGAACCTCGTCGTCGGCGGGTTGCTCAACGGACAGTGCGTCCTCTGGGACACGACGACGGCGGAGGAGCGGGCGGATGCGAACAGCAAGCGCACGGACGGCGACGGCGGCGGGGAGAAGTCGATACCGACGTGCCAGCCGACGTGGCTGTCTGAGCTCGCGGACTCGCACGTGCTCGCGGTCACGGACGTCGCGTGGATGGGAGGCAACGTCGAGGTGACGAAACCCAACGGCGCGCTCGACTTGAAGAAGACGAACGAGTGCAACTTTTTCGCGTCCACCGCCGCCGACGGGAAGCTGTTCTTCTGGGACATACGCGTGAAGAGAGACCCGAAGAAGAACAAATTTTTGTGGTACCCGCTGTACAAGATCAACGTCGGGAGAGGCGAGAGCAGCGGCACCTTGGGCGCGATGAAGTTCAACTTCGGGGACACGACGGCGGGGAAGTCGGACTGTTTCATGACGTCCACGGACGGCGAAGTCGCGCTCGTCGACTTTGTCAAGCCGGAGGGGGAGAACAACCCGGAGTACGTCAAACTGTGCGTCACCGCGCACGCGGGTCCGGTGCGGTCGATCGACCGATCTCCGTTCTTCCCCGACGTCGTCCTCAGCGTCGGGGACTGGTCGTTCAAGCTGTTGAAGGCGAACGAGAAGACGCCGTTGTTTAGCTCGCCCTCGTCGGACGTCTACCTCGCGTGCGGCGCCTTCTCGCCCACGCGCCCCGCGGTGGTCTTCACCGCGCGGCAAGACGGCGTCGTCGACGTGTGGGACTTCACCGACCGCTCGCACGAGCCGAGCGTGAAAGTCAGGGTGAACAGCGGCGGCGTCGGCGCGATGAAGTTCTGGCGGCCGTTTCCGCTCGCGGGGAAGACGGAGCAGCTCTTGGCCGTCGGGGACGCGTCCGGGGTGCTTCACGTCATGAGCATCCCGAGGAACTTACGCAGAGCGCTGCCGAAGGAGAAGTCCACGATGGAGACGTTCTTGTCCAGGGAGATGGAGCGCATCGGGGACGTTCAGACGCGCGCGGAGGAGATCGAACAGGCGGTGAGGGAGGCGGAGGCGGCGGCGGAGGCGGCGGCGGAGGAAGCCGCGATCGAGGAGGAGAAGAAGAAGGCGAAGAAGGGGAAGAAAGGAGACCCGCCGCCGCTCACGGAGGACGAGAAGCTCGAGGAGGAGTACCGCGCGCTCGAGGAGAAGTTCATGGTCGAGATGGGTCTCGTAGAGACGGAAGGGGACGGAGACGAGGACGCGTGATGCGTATCGATAGCCGACGATTGGAACGCGACGTTCTCATGGTTTCCAAGAGGTTCTTTTCCGAAAAAGAAATCGTCCGTCTCGTCGTCGTTCGCGCGTCCCACCCCGCGTCCGACGCGTTTACTCCTTCATCGCATCGTTCCCAGCCCCGTCGGTCTTCTTCCCGTCGCTCTTCTCAACCTCGTTCTTGATCGCGGTGAGGAAATCCACGACCGAGAACCCCGTACCCGGGTCTAAACCGAACTGCGAGAGGTCCATCTGCCCGCTCTGCAGCGCGGCGCTGAATCGCTCGAGCTGGTTTTGAAACTGCGGCGTGCGCAAGAGCTCCTCGAGGTCTTGGCTGGACTTGTGCTCGTCCGGGAGGTGCTCCGCGAGCCTAGCGTGGACGTCGTCGTTCCTCAGCATCTCCCCGACGTTCTCCGCGGTCAGAATGTCCGAGAGCCCCGGCCCCGCGGGCGCGCGGCCGCGTTGCAACCCCGCCAGCGCCGCCGCCATCGCGGCGGCGTCGATGTTCCCGCTCGGCGTGACGTTCCCGCCTCCCGACGAGCCTTCCGGGGTCTGAGTCGCCCCGAACGCGCTGCGAAGCGCGTCGCTGGTCACCGCGGTCGCGCTTCCCGGCGTCGTCGACGGCGGCGCGTCCGCTTTCGTCGGCGCGACGGGCGTCGGCGCGGGCGCCGCGGCGCCCGCGACGGGCGTGGGCGCGACGTCCCCAGCCGGCGGCGCCTCCGCGAGCGCGCTCGCCGCCGCGGCCTGCGCCTGCCGGATCGCCGCGGCTCTCCGCGATATCACGTCGCCGGCGTCGTCGCCGTCGCCGCCGCCCGCGTCGAGCATCGCGAGGAGCTGCTCTTGTTCGTCTTCGAACCCGGCGAGGTCGTCCTCGCCGCCGCCGCCGCCGGGTCGCGAGCCGTTCAGCGCGACGTTCAAATCCGCGGTCAACTTCTCGTCCGCGATCGTCCCGGTCAGCTCCTGGCTCCAGAAGAACATGTTCCTCGAAGCGTCGTCGGGGAACTTGATCACGAAGCACCCGGGCTTCGGGATGAACTTCATCTCGCACTCTTGCGGGAAGATGAGGAAATCGTCCTCGGGGACGTACGGAAGGTCATCGCTTCGGAGGCCGAACTGGAGGTGCGTCAGGCCGTCCGTGTCTTTGCACACGCGCAGCTTGCCTTTTCGTTGATCCGGGGTCATCATCCGTCCGTCGACGATGATCCGGCCGCACCTGACGTCCATGAGAACTGCGGACGAGAGAGGGAAGTACAGCGGGCGGTCAGATCTAGGCACCTCGAAACACGAAAATGGAAGAAAAACGAGAGCGACGAATCTCGCGGCGCGCCGGCGCGCGGGACGCACTCTCTTCGCCGTTAGGGCCGATCTCCGGTCCTCCCCCGCCCGCCGGAGCGGAGTTCTGGTTGAAAAAGTCGAACGACATGAATGCCGGTCGTTCCGTGCGCACGAACCCCGCGTCGTCGATCTGTCACCGATGTCGTCCCCCTCTTCGCTCTCCGAAGCAGACGCGAAATCAGTCCAGCTGGCGAGCCTCGGAAAATCATCGGACGTCGCCTCTCTGGGACGCGCCAACAAGGGCGTCATAGCCACGAGCGCGGGGCTCGGCGGAGTCGCGAGCGCGCGCGGACGCTTCTTCCCGAGTAGGTCGGCGCGGGGCCGTCGGGGAGAGCGCGGGGGAGAGGCAGCGCGCGCGCGTCGCGGCCAGATCTCGCGAGGAGGAAGTCGCCCGGCGTTAACATCCATCCTGTCTTGTCGCGATGGACGACGAGGAGGACTACTACATGTCCGCCGACGACGGCGAGCTCTCGCAGGGCTCGGCCGCGGACTACGAAGACGACGACGACGCGTTCGCGGACGACACCGCTTGCTTGAACGCCGCGGAGCACGTCGTCGTCCCGAGGGCGGCGTATCAGTGCTTCGGCGCGGTCGAAGTCCGCGCGAAGCAGAGCGAAGCCATCGCGCGCGTCGTCGCGGTCCTCCAGGTGAACACAGACGAAGCGACGCAGCTCCTCAGGACGTTCAAGTGGAACGTGAACACCGTGAACGAGGAGTGGTTCGCGGACGAGGAGCGCGTGCGAACGTCCGCGGGGTTGCTCCCGCGCGACGCGGACGCGAGCGAACCCGAACCCGAGCGCGTCGTCCGATGCGGCGTGTGCTTCGAGGACTTTTCCGCGGACGCGTCCACGAACCCGGGGTGCCGCCACGACTTCTGCGGGGAGTGCTGGAGAGGATACCTCGAGAACGCGGTAGATAACGGACCGTCGTGTCTAGACGCGCGGTGCCCGCACGAGGGGTGCGGCGCGCGCGTCACCGAGGCGCTCGCTCGAAGGTTTTTGAGCGACGCCGCCGCGGAGAAGCTCTCGACGTTTCAGTGGCGATCGTGGGTGGACGATAATCCGAGAGTGAAGTGGTGCGTCGGTCCGGGGTGCGAGCGGTCCGTGCAGATCGACGTCGTGCGTGGGGAAAGGCCAGTAGACGTGACGTGCCACTGCGGGACGTCGTTCTGCTGGCAGTGCCAGGAGCAAGCGCATCGACCGGTGGACTGTGAGACGGTTCGCAAGTGGTTGATTAAAAACAGCGCGGAGAGCGAGAACATGAACTGGATCTTAGCGAACACGAAGCCGTGCCCGGAGTGCAAGCGGCCGATCGAGAAGAGCATGGGGTGCATGCACATGACGTGCTCGCAGTGTCAGTACCAGTTCTGTTGGATGTGCCAGGGGAAGTGGGCGGACCACGGCGAGCGCACGGGCGGGTTTTACGCGTGCAACACGTACGAGAAGGAGAAGAAGTACACGAAAAACTTTAGCGAGGACGAGAAGAGGCGCGCTCTCGCGAAGAGCTCGCTGGAGCGGTACATGCACTACTACGAGCGCTGGCTCGCGCACGGATCGTCGCAGGTCAAGGCGGTGAACGATCTGAAGGAGATGACCGAGAGCAAGATCGCGCGGCTGGGCGACCTTCAGAACACGCCGGCGAGTCAGTTGAAGTTCGTCATGGACGCGCTCGAACAGATCGCGGAGTGTCGCCGCGTGCTGAAGTGGACGTACGGGTACGGGTTCTACAACATGGAAGATGACGGGATGAAGAAGAAGTTTTTCGAGTACATCCAAGCCGACGCGGAGGTGGGGTTAGAGCGTCTGACGAAAGCCGTGGAGACGGACCTCGAGGAGTTTTTCCACGAAGAGAAAACCGCGGAGGAGTTCGACACGTTCCGAGGCGTGTTGACCGGGTTGACCTCGGTCACCGCGAAGTACTTCAAGACGCTCGTGACCGAGCTCGAAGAAGGGCTCCCGGGCGTGGAGAGCGAAGCCGTCGACGCCGCCGGCGGCGGGAAAAAGCCCGGGGTGCTCACCCGCCTCGCCGCCGCCGGCGGCGGCGCGGGGAAGTGAGCGCGCTCGGCGGGGGGGCGGCGGCGACGCCGGGGACGGGACGACGAGACGAGGCGACGCGTAGCGGCGCGCGCGAACGATCGAAAACGAAACGAAACGAAACGAAACGAACGAACGACGCGCGTAGAGTGAGATTGATACGAAACGAAACGAACGTGAACGCGAACGAACGAACGCGCGTCGCGGCGGTTTCGCGCGGTGGTCGGATACACGCTGAGATTTCGGCTACGTTTGTATGGTTGTATGGGCAAACAGTATAAATACTCGTAACCGTACTGTACTATGTTCGAGTCATGCACTCCTCAGATATGCTGAAAGACGACTCCCCAACGCCACGATCCTCCTCTCTTGGTCGCGCGCAGCACTTGCACCGACGTTAACGCCATGGCGAAGTCCACTAACCACACGGCCCACAACCAGAGCTACAAGAACCACCGTAACGGTACGTGATGCTCCACATCCTGCGCGCGTCGCGCGGAAATCGTCGCGGGATGGAGGCCCCCCCCCCTGCTGCGGCGAGAAATCCGTCGTTTGACGCCCCGCCGCCGCCTTCGCGCGGTTCGAGCTATTCGCTGCGGCGCGCACGGGCATAGCAACGACGCGGATCCATCGCGCGTGGCATCGCGGCGGCGTAACCGCTCGCGATGTCCCCGCGATCGCGTCGCGTCCGTCCCGTGGGCGCCGTCTCCGTCGCGCGGTTGCGAGGTTTTTTTCGTTTTTGGGGTTTTGCTCACCGTCTCATTTTTTTCCTCTCCGCGCGCAGGCATCAAGAAGCCGAAGAAGCACGCGAAGCGCTCGCTCAAGGGTATGGACCCCAAGTTCTTGCGCAACCAGCGGTACTGCAAGAAGCACCTCCCGAAGGCGTGAGTCTGATCGCGGGATGGCGCAGTGGGTGGTGTCGGGCGGAGTCGGGCGCAGGCGAAGATCTCGAGGGGCGGACTTCTCGCGATTGGATCTCTCGCGCGGGGAAGGACTCTCGCCGCACGTTTAAGGGGATAGCTTCTTAGCGCAGTCTTAGCACTGTAAGTTACCTTCCTTTTGGTGTACACGTCGTCGTTTTCGAGCGAATCGATCTTAGATGTGAAAGAACATTTCGTTTCATTTCGCGCTGGCGGGTCGTGGCAACGTGTTTTAACGCATACGCGACCGTTTGATTACACTCGCTATGTGCTCGGCCGCGTTCGGTACCTCGTTACACCGAACCCCCTCGTTATCTCTCGCCACGGTTATTATGAATCACCCTCTCGTCTCGTCCGTCCATCGCGCTTCTTACACGGCGGGAACCGCGACGCGGCCGGCGATGCGGTCGAGATCACGCTGCCCAGACGGCGTGATGCGACGCCCCTTGGGTCCCTTCTCAACCACGCCAACCGCCTCGAGCTGCTTGAGGATCGAGCGCGCGACGGAACCGGAGCCGATCGCGTAGTGGTGGCGGCACACGCCGTCGTTCTTGGCGCCGCTGTAGTTCTTGCGGAACGCACCCACACCCATGTTCCCGCTCACGTACAGCTTGCGAGCCATGGACGCCGCGCGAATGTAAAACCAGTCCGGGTCGTACGGAGCGAGCTCCTTGTACGACGCCGTCTTCACGATGTCGACCCAGGTCGGGACCTCCATCTGTCGAAACGAGGGCGAGGGTGGAGACGGTCAGCGAGCGTCGACGGCGGGGAGCGGGGCGCGGACGGAACGAATCGGTGAGAAAAAACGAGAGCCCCGACGACGACGACGACGACGCGCATCGGACGCCGGAGGCCGCCGCGCCAGAGCGCGCGACGACGCGCGACGCGCGCGGCGGCGACGCGACCGCGCGCTCGCGTTGTCGAAGTCGTCGAACCGCGCGAAGACGGGACGCGCGGCGGACGTGAGCCGCGCGCGTCGTCGCTGCCGACGACGCCTCCCGCGCGGGGAAACGTCTCGCGCGCGCGAAAACCCTAAGCGAGCGCGTCGCCGGGGACGCCGCGCGGACGCGGTCGCGAGACGCGAGACGCGACCGAAGGCGATCCGCGATCGTCGGGAACGCTTCGAGTCTCGTCTCGCGACGTCGACGCGACCGAAACCGCGCTCGAGGCGACGGACGCGGCGGCGGTCCTCGCGTCGCGCGTCCTCGCGCATCGTCGCGGACGGGCTGGGCTGGGAAAATCAGTCGTCTTCACACGCACCTTCCCGGTCGAGCGGAAGTACTGCGCGAGAGCCACGACGAACTCTTGGGCGGGGACATCCTTCACGGTGCGGGGAGCGTTCGGCATGATTGCGGCGATCCTACGCAAGGTTCGCGCTCGCGCCAAACAGAAAGGGCTCGCGATGCGGACCGCGCGGGGTTTTCTTCGTCAAGTCTTCGTTTCGCGTGTTCGCGAGCGCGTGTACGAGTGTCCGAAGCCCTACGTCGCGGTCAACTTGAACCGGAATCCGGTCAACTTTGAACCCGGAGATGGCTCCTTCCTCGTTTCGTTCGAAACCGCGATCGCAGGTGAAGACTTGCCGAGGAGACGGATCGGCGCTTCAACATCGTCGCAGACGAGACCGCGCGGCAGCAGTCGCCGGGAGCGACGATGGTGCACCCCGCGGCCTTCGTCGTCGCAGGGGCCTCCGCGATCGGCGCGTTCATCCTCAAGAAGAGGAAGGCGAAGAAGAAGAAGAGCGCGTCTTCCTCCGAGGACGCGAAGCGCGGAGGCGACGATGCGTCGGGATCTCGTCCGCCGATCGCGTCGTCGTCTCTCGCGCGCGTGGACCCGCTCGGCGCGTTCGTGGAGCGATTCGCGCTCCCCGCGACGGCGAAGGACGCGCTCGAACCCGACCGCGCGCTCGAGGGCGTTTCGTTCTCGCACAAGGACATCTTCCACGTCCGAGGCAAGGTGGCGGGGTTCGGCAACCCGACGTGGCGCGCGACGCACGACGTCTCAACCTCCACCGCGCGCGCGATCGCGCTGTTGCGCGACGCCGGCGCCAGCGGCGTCGGCTCGACGCACATGGACGAGCTCGCGTATTCCATCAACGGCGAGAACGCGCACTACGGCGCTCCCGTGAACCCGAACGCGCGCGGAAGGATCCCGGGCGGCTCGTCCTCCGGCGCCGCGGTGTCCGTCTGCGGCGAGGCGACGCTCGCGCTCGGGACGGACAGCGGCGGGAGCGTGCGCGTCCCCGCGGCGTGCGTGGGCGTGTTCGGGTTCAGGCCGACGCACGGGAGCGTGAGCGCACACGGCGTGATACCCTTCGCGCCCTCGTTCGACACCGTCGGGTGGTTCGCGCGCGATCCGAAGACGCTCGCCGCCGCCGGGTCGGCGTTGCTGTCGAAGGGCGCCCATCCCACGTCGGCGTCGGACCCGAGCTCGTCGCGACTTTCGGGCGGGCGGCTGCCGAAACGGATGCTCGTTCTCGAGGACGCGATCGACGCGTGCGTCGTGGAGGCTCAGTGCACGGTCGCGAGCGCGTGCATCGCGCTCGCGGACGATTTCCCGGAGGGGTCGACGACGCGTCTGAACCTTGGGAAGCACTTGCTGGTGACGTGCCCGAGCTTACGCGCGGTGGCGACCGCGGAGCAGACGGAGTCCGGGATGGACGTCCTGCGCGTGTGCTTCCAGCTTCTCATGGCGGGGGAGGCGTGGGCGACGCACGGCGCGTGGTACGCCGCGCACGCCGGGGTTAAGGACGCGTTCGGTCAGGGGACGAGGAAACGCATGGACGCGGCGTCGAAAGTCGCGCCCGAGAGCTTGGCGCTCATGAAAGAAGCGCGCGAGGAAGTTCGCGCGTCCCTCGGAGCGCTGTTAGACGGCGAGACGATCTTCGTGATGCCGACGACCCCGGGCCCCGCGCCGAAGCTCGACGCGCCGCCGGAGGAGAACGAGGCGTGGCGGCGGAAGACGCTGACGCTGACGTGCGTGTGCTCGATGACCGGGTTCCCGCAAGTCACGATTCCGATGACGTGCGATAACAAAGGGCCGTACGCGCTCTCGTTCATCGCGGGCGCGGGGCAGGACGCGATGCTGCTCGACGCCGCGCGCGCGTGGAGCACGTCGATCATGAACGCGTTTCCGATGATCGTCAAGGCGGAGATGGACCGCCCGGAGCGGCGAGGAGCCGCGACGGCGGCGCCGAAGAACGCGGCGGCGGCGGCGGCGCCCGCGGCGGCGGCGCCCGCGGCGGCGCCAGCCGGGGAGGAAGCGAAAGCGCGCGGGAACAAACAGTTCAAGGAGGGAAAGTTCGAGAACGCGATCGCGTCGTACACGGAAGCGCTCCAGCGAGGAGGAAACGACGCGGACGCGAAGTGGCAGTCCATCGTCCTGAGTAACCGAGCGATGACGCGTCTGAAAATCGGCGGGTACGAAGACGCGGAGGACGACTGCACGAAAGCGCTGAAGCTCGACCCGAAGAACGTCAAGGCGTACCTCCGACGCGGCGCCGCGCGGTCGGTATCGGGGAACTACTTAGAGTCCCTCGAAGACTACGAGTGCGCGCTTCGGTTAGAGCCGAAGAACAGAGACGCGAAGGTGGAGATCACGCGCATGAAGGACATCCTCGGCGGCGCGAATCAAACCCCCGACTTTGACATGTGACGACGCGCGCGCGGTATGATAGCTATTCGTTCTTCTTGATGATCATTCTTTCCTAATCGAAAACACGTTCGGCGAGAGCTCCGCGAGCCACTCCGGCTGTATCGACGACACGTCCCGCGCGTACAGCCGATTCGTTTTCACGAGCTCGTTGAACAGGATCATCTCCGGCGCGGAGTGAAACAAAATCGACGACGGGTGAATCACGAGCCGCTGCCCCGTGGACATCGTCTTGTAGCTTCCGTCCGCCTGTTTCCTCGCCGTGTTCAGGAAGTAGCCGGACACGAGCGATCGCAGCAGCGGCGCGGTCGCGGACCCGGCCGACTTCATCTCCACGCCCTCCCCCTCCGCCGCGCGCGACAGTTGCTTGAAGATGTCGAGCGCCTTGAGCATCGACCGGAGGTGCACGCCGTTGGACGACGCCCACTCCTTCCTTCGCTTCGGCGAGCACCCTTGAAACGCTCGAAACACCTCCAAGAACGTGACGTGGTCGCCTTCCTTCCTCGCGTGCTGCTCCCGCGCGGTGTTCTTCTCCCGGACGCCCCCCGCGCCTCTCTCGTGCTGCTTGAACACGCTGTCCGTCGTGAGCATCGAGAGCACGGCGACGGTGTCCTCGCCGCAGCCTTCGTTCGCGGCGGCGATGATCGCTTTCGCGGCCATCGGTTCGAGCGGGAACCGCGACATCTTCTTCCCGACCGAGGTGAGCTTTCCGTCCTTCCCGAGCGCGCCGAGGGCGAACAAGAGCTCTAACGAGCGCACGAGCGCCTCTTTCGGCGGCGCGTCGATGAACGGAAACGACAAGACGTCGTCGACCCCCATCGCCTTCAGCTGCAAAACGACGCCGCCGAGGTTCGTCCTCAGAAGCTCCGGCTTGACGTGCGGCTCCAGAGAGTTCAACACGGACTCGCAGTACAGCCGAAAACACTTCCCCGGGCCCTCGCGCCCGGCGCGACCGGCGCGTTGCATCGCTTGCGACACCGCGACGGGCGAGACGACGAGCTCGTCCACGCCGCTCCTCGGGTGGTATATCCGCTGCTTCGTCAGCCCGCAGTCGACGACGTACTTGATCCCGTTGATCGTCAGCGACGTCTCCGCGATGTTCGTCGCGAGGACGATCTTCCTCGACCCCGGCGGCGTCGGTTCGAACACCCGCATCTGCTCCTCCGGCGGCAGCGCGGCGAACAACAAGACGACGTGTAATCTCCTGACGCCGCTCGCCGCGTTCGCGAGCTTCGAGCGCGCTCTGAGGAGCCTCCCCAAGGATTCGATCTCCTCCTGCCCGGTCAAGAACACGAGGACGTCCCCTTCCTCTTCGTCCTCGTTGATCTGACACACCGCGCACATTGCGGCATCGAGGTAATCGTCCTCCGGCTCCTCGACGTAAAACGTCTCCACGGGGAACGTCCGTCCTCTGCCGTACACGACGGGCGCGTCGTGGAAGAAGCTCGAGAACGACGACGCCTCCAACGTCGCGGACATGACGACGATCTTCAGCGGCGCGTCGGTGCCGCGGCGACGCTCTTGCACGCCTCGTATCGTGCCCAACAGGAAGTCCGTCTGCAGCGTGCGCTCGTGCGCCTCGTCGATCATCACGACGCCGTACTTGTTCAACTCCGCGTCCACCATGCACTCGCGCAGGAGCATCCCGTCCGTGAGGAACTTGATCCGCGTCGCCGCGCTCGAGACGTCCTCGAAGCGGATCGCGTACCCGACGAGGTCGCCGAGCTCCGTGCCGGTCTCCTCCGCGACGCGACGCGCGACGGATATCGCCGCGACGCGACGCGGTTGCGTGCACGCGACGACGCGCCCGCTCGCGAGGTTCGCCTCGTGCGCGAACTGCGGTATCTGCGTCGTCTTCCCGCTTCCGGTCTCGCCGACGACGATCAGCGTCTCGTTCTCCTCGAGCTCGCGAAGCAGGCGCTCTCGCGTGGCGTACATCGGCAGCCGCTTCCGTCCCTCGAGGAGCTCGCGCCTCCGTCGCGCTCGCGTCTCGTCGTCCATCGGGGGCTGGAACGTCCGGTTGAACCCGCCGCCGCCGCCGTCTTCGCGTCGGACGCGCTTGCGTCCGCTGTGCGACGCTTCCATCTCCTTCTACGTGTCTATGCTATCTCTACTGTCATCGTCTTCGCGCGGTGCGGTCTGGCGCGGGGGCTCGCGCCTCTCTCGGATTCACTCCCACTCATCATCAGGATCGGGCGAAACTTTCGCGAGCGTCCAAACCCTCCGCTCTCGCCGCGGTCGTCACTCGACGACGCGCCTGCCACGCCGCGGGTGGTCCGAGTCGAGCTCGAGCGAACGATGCAGCGGCACGTCGCGCGCGCGGTCGCGCGGTGGGGTCTCGCCCTGAACGCCGCGCCGACGCTCGCGGGCGACCTCGCGCTTCGACAACCGGCGACGACGACGGCCGTCGTCGGGGGATTCGCGTCGACGTTCGTTCGACGCGCGGGGACGTTCGGGAAGGACACGTCGAGTGCGCGCATCCCCGCCGTTCCTCGCTCGCCGCGCGCCGCGCTCTCTTCCCGTTTCTCCCGTTCCGACGATCCCTCCGACGATCCCGCTGACGATCCGATCCGTCCCGCCCCCGCGCGCCGATCGCTCATCCGTCATCGTCCATCCATCGTCCGCAGAGGACAAGGGCGACGTGATCGACGTCCGGCTCCGCGACGCTTCCGGGAGGATAGCCGCGAAGAAACTGCGTAAAGAAGGACGCGTCCCCGCGATCTTATTCCGGAGCGGGTCTCGAGCGGGCGAGCACATATCCCTAGCGCTGAAGGACATCGAGAGGCTCGTGACGAAGCACGGGCACGTCGGCGTCGGGACGAGGGTGCTGAAGATGCGGTTCGAGGGGACCGACCGCGCGGAGGACGTCATCGCGAAACAGGTCCACCTCACGATGGGGACGGGCGTCGTCGAGAACGCGACGTTCATGCCCGTGGAGCCGACGACGGAGGTGAACGTGGACGTTCCGGTGACGTTCATCGGCGAGGACGTGTGCCCGGGGGTGAAGCAAGGCGGGTTCCCGTGGGTCATGCGTCGGTCCGTCCCGGTGAAGTGCCAGGTGAAGGACATCCCTCGGGTGTTTAACATCGACGTCTCGAACTTTTCCGTGGGGAAGGTGGTCTTCTTGAAGGATCTGCACGTTCCCGAGAGCGTGAAGCTGAGGTTGGATAACATGATGACGCCGGTGTTCTCGATGTCGAGGCCGGGGCGCGGCGGGTGAGAGAGAGGCCGGGACGCGGCGGGCGAGAGAATCCTAGTTCTAGTGGTGACGTCCTCCGCCCCCCTACCGTCCCGCCCCCCTTTTCTTGTTCTCCTCGTCGATGATCGCCTGCCTCTTGTCGTGGAACTTCTGCATCGCCTGATCGAGGTAGTCCCGCCCCGTGAGCAGGAGCTTGTTGATCATCTCCGGGTCCGTCTCGTGCCTGCCAGCCTCGAACTCTTTCCTCGCGCTCTCGCGTATGAGGGTCTTCCAGTCCTCGCCCTTCTCGTTCTTCCACACGAACAAGAAGGACGCGCGCCACACCGCGCGGTACAGCGACAGCGCCTCGCGTTTGGTCGTGAGGAGCTGGTGTGGCGTGATCGACGCGCCTTTCCTCGCGCCGTCCCTGGACGCTTTGTCGAGGTGGACGTCGATGAAGTCCTCCGCCTCGCCGCCGCCGTCCGTGCGCAGATCCGCGACCGTGGACGACGCGTGGAACGGGCGAACCAGCGTCCCTCGCGCGCCGCAGAGCGCGCGCGCGGCGAGGCGCGAGCCGCTCGCGGCGAGCATCCTCCGAAGCGCCTAGGGCAATGAGTGAACGAGCTGGCTGGAAACGAGACGAGACGACTTGAGAGAACAAACAGAATTCTCTCGAGTGCTCGCTCGCGCCTCAGTTGCACTTGGCGCGCTCGGCACGTGGGGCACTTGGCCTCGGCCTCGGCCTCGGCCGGGATGTCCTCGACCCTGCGTAGCTTTCACACCTCCGCGCCCGCGCGTCCGCGCCCGCGCTCGCGGCGCCGAACCCCGCGGTGCGCGCGGACGAGGATGTCGTTACCTGTAAAAGATACGACCAACGCGCCGCGCGAAGTCGACGCGTTCGAGGACCGACGCGCGCTCTATGACACCGCGTACGAAAACCTGGGAAGGGACGTCGGCCTCGAGATCGCGGAGCGCAGTCACGACGGCTGCGCGAGGGTCCCCGGCGACGGATGGTTCTACGGCGAGCTCTCGTGGGAAGGGATGTGGGACGTCGTCGCGCTCGCGGAGCCGAAACCAGGCGACATTTTCTTAGACTTAGGCTCCGGCCTGGGGAAGATGGTCGTCGCGCAGTCGCTCACGAGAGATTTCGCGGAGTGCTGGGGCGTGGAGATCCTCCCCGAGCTCCACGACGCCGCGATGGACGCGCCCGGGAAGCTGCGCGCGGCGATGGGCGACGACGCGTTCGACGCTCTGCCGGAGGTGGACCTCCGACGCGGAGACATGCTCGCCGCGGACGTCTCGGACGCGGACGTGATATACTGCTACGCCACGGTCTTCGCCGCGCAGGTCGTGTCGAGGCTTCAGGCGAAGCTCGCCGCGGAGATGAAGCCCGGCGCGCGGCTCGTGATGATAAGCAAGCAGATGGAGAGTCCGGAGTTCGACGCGTTCGGCGTCGGATATTTCAGCGTCCCGCAGGCGCACAGCAGGTGGAACATGGACGCGTGGTTGTACGTGAAGCGATGACGAGCAGACGTGCGTGGTTGTTTCCGATTAGTCTAGTGTAAACAACGTCAGACGTGCACGTTCGCGCTCCGTTCTGCTTCGCTATTGCTACTGATACTACGCTCGGACGCGGGTCGAACCGGACGGTTTCGGCGACGTCGTGACTAGTAGTAGTCGCGACGATGGCCCTTCTTGTCCTTCTTTTGCTTCTTCTTGCTCTTCTTGTCTTTGCGATCCCTCGAGTACGCGTAGTCGTCTTTGCGTCGCTTCGGCTCCCTCTCTCGATCTCTGCTGCCCTCGCGCTCTCTGCTATCCTCTCGTCCGCGTTTATTGCGTATCGTGACGACGACCTGCTTCTCCGAATTTTTCCTCCTCTCCCTCTCGAGACTCTTCTCGAGCCGCTTTTTCTCAACCGCCGCGGCGACCTCTCTTTCCAGCTGAGCTTCTCTGTCTTTGCGCGCGCGTTCTGCTTCTGCGACCGCGACCACATGTTCCAGGTGAGCTTCTTTGTCTTTGCGCGCGCGTTCTGCGGCCTCTCTGCGGTTGCGATCGTCCACCTGCTCCCAATTCCGCTTCAGTACTGACAAGTCCGTGACGTGCTTCGCCCGCGGCGGACTCGCCGGTTTCGTCTCCGTCTTAACAGCCTCCTCCGTCTTGATAACATCCTCCGTCTTCACAACCTCCTTCGTCTTGATAACATCCTCCGTCTTTACCTCCTCCTTCGTCTTTACCTCCTCCTTCGTCTTTACCTCCTCCGTCTTCTTCACCTCCGCCGCCGCCGGCGTCTCGCTCGGTTCAATAGGCTTCTGAAGCGTCGTCGCCCTCGCGATCGTCTCCGCCGCCGGCGCGCTCGCGCGAATAGGAAGCGGTGGAGGGAGCTTGTTCCTCCCTCCCGACATGATCGACGGCGGCCGCTTGAACGCGTCCGGGTTCTTGCTTCTCACCGCGTCCAAGTACTTCCTCGCGTTGCGATGATCGGGGTCGATCTTCAGCGCGGTCTCGAAGTCTTCCGCGGCGTCCCTGACGCGGTTGAGGGCGTTCAGCGCCGCGCCTCTCGCGACGTACGCCTCTGCGTGTCGCTTGTCGAGCTCGAGCGCTTGCTCGTACATCTTCAGCGCGGTCGTGGCGTCCCCGGACTTGTAGTGCGCGACGCCTCGTCGCACGCTCTCGGTCGCCCACGCGCTTTTGACTTGGACCTTCACGAGGTCCATGAACTCGCTCACGCGCGCGGTCTCCTCCTTCCCTCGGTGCCCGCCGTCGACGACGGACCACCCGTCCGCGATGCCGTACGCTCGCATCATCGCGTGCACGCAGTGCGGGCTCCCGAAGTCGTTGTCTCTCTCGAGGCAATCCTCGTACGACCTCCGCGCTGCCCCGCCGGTCGCGAGATGGTCCACGGTCGGGACGTTCGCGAACCCCCACGTCCGCGACGAAGGCGGCGATCGCGACGTGCACTCGGGTTCGAGCGATCCCGAGTGCGCGAGGAGGCGATCGCGCGTCGCCGCGTCGAGCGTCGCGACGCGACGCGACAGCGACCCCATCGAATGACGAGATCTCGACGACGACGCGACGAGACAGGCTGGGAAGTTGACGAAAACTGGGCGTCGAGCCCGCGCGATCGTCAGAGCGGCGGGCGGCGGCCACGATGGCGCCTCCCAAACCCGAGACCGGGTTCACGATGAAGCGTAAGAAGACGCCGTTTCAGAAGCACCAGGAGGAGGAGGAGCTGAAGCGGAAGCGCGACGCGGAGGAGGCGGCGCGTTTGTTCGACGAGTTCGCGGAATCGTTCGAAGCGGACGAGAAGAAGCCGCGAATGAACTTCGTGAGCGCGGGGGTGCAGGGCGCGGGGTCGAGGCCGGGGGAGGATCCGGCGGACGATCGCGTGGGAAAGGCGTACGTCCCTTCGTACGTCCCGCCCGGGATGCACGCGAGCTTCGGAGGCGTCAAGGAGGAGGAGAAACCGATCGCGACGGAGGAAGCGATCGCGTTGCCACCGCCCGCGCGCGCGAGCGGGTTGAAACCGAGGGCGATCGACTCGCTGATGGAGGAGATGATGGCGAAGCAAGAGGCGAGAGACAAGGCGAAGCGCGAGGGCCGGGTCGAAGACGCGATCGAGCGCGCGCCGTACTCGCAGTCTGCCCACGACGAGCAGTCGACGAACATCCACGTTCGCAATCTCCCTCTGGACTTCAACGAGAACGTCCTCCTCCGGCGGTTCGAACGCTTCGGCCCGATCGGGAGCGTGAAGATTTACTGGCCGAGACCGGAGGACTTACGGTACGTGAAAGCCCTGAGCGGCTTCGTCGCGTTCATGACGCACGCGGACGCGGCGAGGGCGATCGAAGAGACGGACGGCGTCGTCGTCGGCGGGAACGATCTCCGCGTCGGCTGGGGGAAAGCCGTGAAGCTGCCGCTCGTGCCGATCTGGCCGCCTCCGGGGATGAACGACGCGCACGAGCGCGAGGAAGACGCGCGCGCGGAGCCGGCGATCCCGCCCCCGCCCCCGCCCGCGCCGGCGCCGTACCCTCGAGCGCCGACGCCCCCGCCCGGCGCGCCGCAGGTTATCGTGACGTATCCGTCGGACGCCAAGACGACGCACGCGATCGACACGCTCGCGCGGTACGTCGCGGACAAAGAGAAGGGAATCGCGTTCGAGCAGGCGGTGGTGGTGCGAGAGCGGCACAACCCCGCGTTCTACTTCTTGTTCAACCCCGAGTGCGCGGAGCACGCGTATTACAGGTGGAGGGTGCACTCGTTGAGTCACGGGTTCTCGCTGAGCGATTGGAACACGACGCCGTTTTATATGCACCCCGGGCAGCCGCGGTGGGTGCCTCCGGACCCTGCGAAACGGCCGACGCCGTTGAAACCTGACCCGCCCGCGGCGCCGACGGTGAACAACACTCAACAACAACGACAACCGAATCAACCGAGCACGAGCGGCCGCGATTCCGCGCCCGCCGCCGCGAACGACGTCCAGGTCGCGAAAGCGCCGGCGAAGGAAGAGAAAGAGACGACGAAACCGGGGAAGTTGACCGATGGAGAGACGGAGACGTTCACGGTGCTTCTGCAGGCGTTGACGTTAGAGCGCGGGGACATCGAGGAAGGGATGGCGTTCGCGCTCGACCACGCGGAAGCCGCGTGTGACGTCGTGGACATCCTCGCGGAGGCGCTGACGTTGAGCGAGACCCCGGTCGCGATGAAAGTCGCGCGACTGTTCCTCGTGTCCGATATTCTTCACAACTGCGGAGCGCCGATAAAAAACGCGTCCGCGTACCGAGTCGCGTTCCAAGAGAAGCTGCCGCACATATTCGAGAGCTTGGAGGAGACGCACCGAGACGTGAGCAGTCGAATCACGCGAGAGGCGTTCAAAAAGCGCGTGCTCGCGGTGTTGTCCGCGTGGTCGGACTGGTTTTTGTTCGCGGATGAGTTTTTGCGAGGGTTAGAGTCCGTGTTCGTTCGCGGCGGGCTCTCCTCGGAGCCGACGCTGTCGTACGCGGAGACGAGGAAGCTGCGAGCGGAGATCGACGCGATGGATCCCACCGAGCGCGAGCGAGCGTGTCGCGCGCGCGGGCTCGTCTCGGACGGCGGACCCGAGAAGTGCGCGGAGCGTCTGGTCGTCCTGGAGACGTACCTTCGAAGCGAAGCGAGCAAGTAGACGCAGACGCGCGATTCGAGTAGCTATTAGAAACGAATCAAAACGAATAGAGGCGTCCATGACATCGTATTAGTTCTACATTATCCCGCTCTCCCGCGATCGCGTCGATCACTTCGCGTGGTTTGCGCCGGCGCCGTACCTCGCCCCCGGGACCGCGCCTTCCTCCGCGAACGCCTTGACGTCCTCGGGGGGGAGCCCCGTCCCGGTGACTTCATTCCCGACGGAGACCCAGAAATCTCTCAAGTTGTTCTTCCGCGCGAAGATCTCGAGATACCGCCCGTTCGGCACCAGCTCCTCGATGAGCTCGTAAATCTCCGTCGGCTTCTGGCTCTGCCCTCGTCTCGGGGCGAAGATGATGTCGCTGCCGACCGCCTTGTCGCTCATCCCCGGCGGGTCCTTCCCTCGTCTGCCGACGAGGCACACCTCCTTGGCGTGCTGCAAGTAGAAACCGTGAGACTTCGCCATTCTTCGCGAGTTCGTCACCTTGACCCACACGACTTCGTCCACGAAATCGTAGCCCCACTTTTTGAACTGCTCGAGCATCCACTGGTACTTCGCGTTGATGACCCAGACGAACAGAAATCCGTCTTTTTGAAGCTTCGGGATCGGCAGGTCCGCGATGGATAAATCCGTCAGCTGGGAGTATCCTAAAGAAACACCTCGCGTCGGGTTCGCGGTCGCGAGCTGCCACGGCGGATCCATCATGATCACGTCGAAGTCCGTGTGGTCGTACAGCTTGCTCCAGTCGTACGTCACGACGTTCGCATGCACGGGGATGCACTGCGGCGGGACCATCCACTCTTTCGGGTCGATGTCGTCCACGTTGCCCTCGATGAGGCCGTCGTCCGCGCCTTCCTGCGCGTCCGGTTTGCCCTCGCCGTCCAATCCCACGGCGCCGGGGTCGATATCGTCCGCGGCGGCGCCGTCCCCACCCTCCTCGTCCGCCGCGACGGTCTCCTCGAACGCGAACGTCGAAGGCTCAACCTTTTCCCCGCGCTTCGCGAGATCGGCCTCGAGGTCGCCAATCGCGGTGCGGTACGCGCCGACCTCAGCCTTGACGGCGTCGTCGCTGAGGTCTTTCCATCGCGCCTCGCACACGTCCTCGGCGTCGACGAGCCTCGCGTCTTTCGTGGACGCGGGCACGTTCTCCGTCGCCGCGGCTTTCTTCGCCTTGGCACCCATCGTCGTTTTCACGGCGTTCGCGAGCAACACACCGAACGGCAGCGCTCTGCAGCACAAGCAGCTCTTGCCGTGCGTCGTCGGAGAGGGCTTCAGAGTCGAATGCCTGCAGCAGGGAGCGTTCGCCCGCTACTGATTCGCACGTGCGTCGCGCGAAGGCGTGCGCGTCGGAGTGACGATCTCGTGGTCATCTTTTCGAACTCGTTTTCATTTTTTTTGAAACTGTTTCGGCGTGAACCTGCCAAGCGCCCAAGCAGCCAGGCGGAAATTCATCGGAAAATCGACTGGAAATCAAACGAGCGCGTGTCCTTCCCGGGTCTTTTGTGGCGGCCGGCGCGAAAGAGCCTCCTCCCCATTCAAGTGAGGCGCGCGATCTCGCGGTGCACGGTGTCGACGCGAACGCGCGCTGTGGAGAACGAGCGATCGATCCGTCACCGTCTGAACGCGCCGGGCGAAATCGCGCGCGAGGGTCAGTCGCGCGTCGGGGGTAGATCGCGAGCGCGGGGGCGGGTGCATTAGGCCATCGCCAATCCAAACGCCGCGATGGGGAGCTCGAGCGACAGCGGCTCCGGGTCTTCGAGCTCGTCGTCGTCCTCGTCCGACAGTGATCGGCGTCGCAAGCCGTCGAAGAAACGCGGGGACGAGAAGCGCGGCGGGGACGGCGACGGAGCGCGGACGAGAGAGGACGACGGCAGGGATGGCGCGGCGAGATCTGCAGGTCGCGACAACGACAGCAACAAACGCCGAAGAGGGCGCGACTCGTCGCCGCCGCCGCCGCCGCGCAGGAGGGACGCTCGCGATGACATCAAAGGCAAGGGGCGAGAGAGCCAGGACGCGCAGGCGAAGGAGAGAGAGCCGCGGAAGCCGCTCGTCGCGGGGAAGGCGGGAGGGGCGTACATACCGCCGTTCAAGCTCGCTCAAATGATGGCGGAGCAGGCGGACAAGACCGGGCCGGAGTATCAGAGGATGACCTGGGACGCGCTCAAGAAGAGCATCAACGGTCTCGTGAACAAAGTGAACGCGAGCAACGTGAAGAACATCCTCCCGGAGCTCTTTGCGGAGAACATGATCCGAGGACGCGGGTTGTTCGCGAGGAGCGTGATGAAGTCGCAGATGGCGTCGCCGCAGTTCTCGCCGATCTTCGCCGCGCTCGTCGCGGTCGTGAACACGAAATTCCCCGAGCTCGGCGAGCTCGTTCTGACGCGCGTCATCTTGCAGTTTCGGAGGGCGTTCAAGCGAAACGACAAGCCCGTGTGCGTCGCCGCGACGCGGTTTCTCGCGCACCTCATCAATCAGCAGGTGACGCACGAGCTTCTCGCTCTCGAGCTCCTCACCGTGCTGCTCGCGTCTCCCACGGACGACTCCGTGGAGGTCGCGATCGAGTTCGTGAAGGAGTGCGGCTATACCCTTAACGAGCTCACGCCGCAAGGTTTGCACAGTATCTTTGAACGATTCCGCGGGATCCTTCACGAGGGCGAGATCGACAAACGTGTGCAGTTCATGATCGAGGGTTTGTTCGCGGTGAGGAAAGCCGGGTTCGAGGGGAAGCAAGGCGTGCCCCCTGAGCTCGACTTAGTCGAAGAGGATGACCAGATCGTGCACGAGCTGTCCTTAGACGACGACCTTAAAGCCGAGGCGACCCTCGACATCTTCAAAGTGGACCCCGAGTACGAAGAGAGCGAGAGGAAGTACGCGGACATCAAGAGGGAGATCTTGGGGGAGTCTTCCTCGGACGAAGAGAGCGGCAGCGACGACGACGACGATGATGAGAGCTCGGACGAAGAGGACGAGGGTCCCGCGCAGCAGCAGGCGCAGCAGGAAATTCAAGATCAGACGGAGACGAACCTCGTGAACTTGAGGAGGACGATTTATTTGACGATCATGTCGTCGCTCGACTTCGAGGAAGCCGGTCATAAGCTCATGAAGATCAACATTCAACCCGGGCAGGAGGTGGAGATTTGCACTATGTTAACCGAGTGTTGCTCGCAAGAGAGAACGTTTCTGAGATACTACGGGCTCCTCGCGCAACGGTTTTGTTTCATCGATCAGCAATACGCTCAGCTCTTCGACGAGGTCTTCATGAAGCAATACTCTACGATTCACAGGCTAGAGACGAGCAAGCTGCGCAACGTGGCTAAGTTCTTCGCGCATCTTCTGTCCACGGACGCGATCTCATGGACGAGCTTGGCGTATCTTCAACTCACGGAGGAGGCGACGACATCGTCTTCTCGTATTTTCATCAAGATTTTGTTCCAGGAGCTCTCCGAGTCTTTCGGACTGCGCAAGCTGAACGAGAGGTTGCAAGATAAAAACATGGCCGAGTATTTCCAGGGGATCATGCCTAAGGATACGCCGAAGAACACCAGGTTCGCGATCAACTTCTTCACCTCCATCGGCCTCGGTGGCTTGACGGACGACTTGCGCGAACACCTGAAAAACATGCCGAAGATGATCATGGCTAAAAAGGAAGACAGCGACAGCGATTCGGATAGCAGCAGTAGTTCTTCTTCTTCTTCTTCTTCGTCCAGCTCGTCTTCAAGCTCGAGTAGCTCCTCCTCGAGCTCGAGCAGCAGCAGCTCGAGCAGCAGCAGCTCGAGCTCTTCAGACAGTCGAGCGAAGAAGAAGTCGCGCAAGAAGTAAACGAAACTTGTTACTCATAGTTGGGATCTTGCTTTTAATCAAATTTTAGATCTAATAAAAATAAAACTCGAACTCCCGTCAAATCGAAACATGAACGGAAATTATTCTAGCTAGCTAGGAAACCAGGAAAAGACGGAATCGATGTTTCTGACTCGTCATTCACGGTTTAATTCGCGGTGATTTTTCAGAAAGGGCCGAAGCTCAGCGCTGCGAGGAAGGAAAGAGACATAAGTTATTCTACAGGTACAGACGCAGCAACTTCCGTTAGTCAGCTGCGGATATCACGAAACATCAAAATCGTCGACGTAGTGGCGGACACGTATGTATTAATGCCAGATATTAACGGAGATGAACGCAAAGAAGCTACGTGCACATGTTCGGCGTGCACATATTCCTCGATTCAAAGTGAGCGTGCGATCGAAGTTCGGAAAAGAAACTTTCGGCGACGATCGAAAATCAAACGCCAGCGGCTGAAAACGAGAGAAAATGAAGTTCGCGTCCGGTGGCACACGCGCGCTAATAAGGTTAATTCTAGAAATCTATCTTCCGGAGAAATAAGCAAATATATCAGGCTTTTGAATAAATTTTATACAGAAGGAAGCATTCAGAGCTTCCTGCACCAAGATCAAGAAACCATTCGTTCAGACCAGCGAATGGTTCTCCACGCGCTTGTGAAAGCGCTCTATGCAAACGCCAAAGTTACCCTGGGGAATCAAGCCGCGTTTTCGCGGTGAACAACGAATAATCACAGAATTCGCGAGAACTTTAGATGTCTTGGACTTGCTTTTGAATGCTGACCGAGCTAACAAATGTTAAGCTCGCCCATTAGATTGTTCTGATTGACGCTTTAAGGCTTAAACGCGATCCGTGAAGGTGAGATCATATCGCTCATGTTATTCACATGAACTAAAAGTTGCATACCTGGGGGAGCTTGTTATCATAGACGCGTTTCGATCAAAGAGTTTCTGAGAGTCTTTCCAAGCGGTATACGACAGTTTGATTTTGTTGTTTCTATTTATCTAAATGAAGAGTATCACAACACGCTGAATCAAAGTGTGCAACGAGAAAGCATAAGCCGTGCTTTAAGAACGTATCATGACTGTTTTTATTTACGTTTTGCGCGTAATTTGCCGCATCTCGACAATATTGTAACGAGCACCTTGTTACGATGTAAAATTGCGTGTTTTGTTTGACAAAGAAATCCACTTATTCAATTCAAACGACTTTCATATGCGCATTCTTTCGTCCTGAGACAGCCACCTCGTTCGTTTCTTGCATTTTGCCGAACAGATATACATTACCATGCCCGCGGGGCGTTAATTCTTTGTTTTGTTCAGAACGAGAGTTCATATTGTATTCTTTTTCGCTTTCTTGCTCACGTTTTGTTTCCTATTTTCTCCTGTCATTTCTCATGTCATCCCGCAATTGCCATGTCTTTGAGTCCGAGAGAGCAGCGTGAACTCGATTCAGCTTTTATTCGCAGTATCTATCCCTAGGCGTTTTTGCTTTCTTTTTTCTTTCTCTGGTTTGGCAAACACGCCAGCTTGCTTCTCTTAGCTTTACGCGCCCCGGTTCTGGAAAGCAACATGTTTTCTCTGTCACAGCACAGCGTGTTTAGCCGGTCGAATCAAGTATTTCGTTCCAGTCTCCTCAATAAAAAGTTTTTGTTTGCACCGCAGCTTTTATCTGCTGCCTCGTTACCGCGTTTCTTTCGCAGCTCGACTGGGAGTCATTTTTATCTCTCTCCTTGAATGACATAGGGTCTTCTTATTTCTCAGTCCTTGGTCTGCCTCTTTGTCGACTTCTCTGAGTTAAAATCTGAGTTAAAAACCCAAAGAAATTTCCATGACTCTGGTTCTGCTCGATTTTGCTCTCCTCCTCTCTCAAACATGTTTTTCCGAGCCCTAAGATTTTCTCTGTCCCATCTGTTTCCCGTTTCCTCGCCAAAGAAAAATCGTTGCTTTGAAAAAAAACTGTGAATGCAATTACCGATCAAATTGATCGACTCGTTTCCGTTCAACCGCCCAGCACCGTTCAACTCACCGGTGATTTTAGCCGGTGTGAAAAAAAATCAAAAGTTTTTTCTGAGTTTTTGGTTCATCCTCGCTTGTCGTTTTCCCAAAATCGGTTTTCGCTCGGTCTCGATGTCACCCTCCGAACTGAGGGGCACTGAGTCACGCGCACCACCGACGAACGCGCTCGTCACCCCCAGGACCTACGAAACTCATGCCGTCGACGATATAATATTCGTCCACGCGCACGCGACCACGGTCAGGCATCGCGGGAGGAAGCCGGTCCAGTCTAGCTGCGCGTGCTGCTGTTGAGATTTTGACAGTGGGCACGGTACGCACTCTCCCGCGCGATGAAGAGATTCGACGACCGCCGGGGTTTGCCTCCTCTCGTCCGGAGAAACCACTCCATCACGAGCGGTTCTTTAGTGTTGCTTTTAGTCGGCGCCATGATCCTCATTATCATGTCTGGCGCTCTCAAACCTCCGGTGGATACGTCTGCGCTTTCGTCTTCGCAACTTGTCGAGGCGAGGAAATCAAATCTGAGAGCGGCGCTCTCGTCGACGGTGGCGGCGTATCTGTTGTACTCCGCGATTCAAGGGCCGGAAACGCACATGATACGACCTCACCCCGCGGCGTGGAAGATAATCCACGGAATGTTCGTTCTGTACTTACTCTTCCTCGTCTTCTTGTTGTGTCAAGACACGTACGACGCGCGCGCGGTGTTGAAGTTCCTCTCCCCGGATCTTCTCGACGCGGACGCAGACGAGCGCGCGTACGGAGAGGACTGCAGGATATACACCCCTGAGGATCCCGTGTCCAATTTCCGCGTGCTTCGGGATACGGTATGCGATGAGTTCGTCATCGCGCACGTTATTGGATGGTACGGCAAAGCGATCGTCCTGAGAAGCGTTCCGTTGCTGTGGTGCTACTCCGTCGCGTTCGAGCTTTTGGAAATCACGTTTCAGCACTGGTTGAAAAACTTCAACGAGTGCTGGTGGGATGCGTGGATCCTGGACGTCGCACTCTGTAACGCGGTCGGAATATACTTCGGGATGATGACAATTAAATTCTGGGAGGGCGCAGACTACGACTGGACGGGTAAGAAGGGAATATCCGGGCAAGTGCAGAGGTCGTTGTCGGTGCTCGCCCCGGCGTCTGTCGACGCGTATTCGTGGAACCCAACGTCAAGTCCGTTGAGGTTTTTGCAGTGCGCGTTCATCGTGGTCGTTTGCTTGATTTTCGAGCTGAACGCGTTTTTACTGAAGTACGTGTTTTCGGTCCCGCCGTCGAACATATTAAACATCGTCAGACTTGGGTTGTGGTTTGGGATAGCAAACGTTGCGACGAGGGAGTATTTCGTTTTCATCACTTCAAGTCGAGGGATGCGAACGACGAAGCTGGGGTCGAACGCGTGGTTAGCGATAGCCGTCGCACTCGTTGAGGTGTTGGTCACCGTGAAACACGGTCGTGACATGTTCACCGCTCCTTGGCCGAGGCGCGTTGTCGTTTTCTGGAGTGTCGTGGGTAGTGCCGTTGCGGGTTGGCTCGTGCACTGGCAGTTGCGTCTAAACCGACACCGTTCGTTCGTTCGCGAGAAGCGCGAGTAGCACACTAGCCTAATCTAATTAAAATATACCTAGAGCTTGGAGAGAAGACTCGCCCGGTCCGATTTCACCTTGCTCTTGTCCAAGATCACCCGTCCCTTGTGCCCGACGACGACGCTGTGCGGCGGCAAGTCGTGTAAAATCGTCGAGCTTGCGCCGATTTTACAGTCGTGCCCGATCGTTATGTTGCCGATGACCGATGCGTGCGCGCCTACGACCACTCGCTTTTGCAGCTTTGGATGCCTGTTCCCTCCGGTTTTACCCGTCCCTCCTAACGTCACGCCGTGGAAAAGCGAGCAGTCGTCCTCGACGACGGAGGTCTCCCCGACGACGATCCCGGTCGCGTGGTCGATCAGCACTCCTCGCCCGAATTTCGCGCCCGGGTGAAGGTCCATGCCGAACACCTCCGATATGTGCGACTGAACCGTCGACGCGAGGACGGACCTTCCTCTCAGCCACAGCCAATGTGATACCCGCTGCGCTTGCAGACCTTGAAATCCTTTGAAGAAGAGAAACGCGTGCGTATAACTCGGGCACGCCGGGTCTCGTATCATGGCGGCTTCCAAGTCCGCCCTCGCCGCACTCGCGATCGACCCGCTGCCTGGAACCGGCGTCGGGCCGTGAGGCTTGTTTTTCTTCGACATGTACTCCACCTCCTCTTCCGCGGTAGACGCCATCCCGTCGATGATAAGGTCATTCCATTGCGACGCTAGGATCGTCGACGTCGCGAGCTTCGACGCGAGAAGAAACGCGAGCGAGCGCTCGAACGTCGGCTGGTTGAGGATAATCGAGTACACGAAACCTCCCAGAAGCGGCTCTTTCTCGACTAACTCCTGGGCTCCCTTCCTCAGCGACTCCCACAGGGGGTCGTCCCCTTTCACCAGCGACATCGTGCGCGACCACCGTCAGCGTCCCTGCTCAGGGCAGCATGAAGTGCGCGCTGGATAAGTGCACCGAAACCTAACGAATTCCAACGCGTTTTCCGAAACACGTGTGTTTTAGTTTCGGCGGAAGTTCGGTGGAAATGTCTGGGAAGTGTTCGTCGCTCTCGTCGTGCGTCGTTTAAAGCACGCGTAACGTCGTTTCACTAAAGTTCTACATCGACTACGTCACGCGCTTCGCCCTCGTCGCGCTCTCGTTTCGCTCGCTCGAGAAGATCCTCCGTCGCGGACAACAGGGCGTCGATGCCCTCGGACGCGTTCGCGCTGACGCACACGACGGGCAAGTCCGTGCGTCTTCGCAACGCTTCCGCCGCCTTGGACGTTCTCGCGACGTCCGTCTTCGTCCCGACCACGATGGCGGGGCGGTTCGAGAGACCAGGGAGGTACGCGTCGAGCTCGGCTCTCAAGACCTTTAACGCCTCCCAAGGACGCATCCCCGGCCTGTCTCCCATCCCAGACGATAGGTCGACGACGAAAAGAAAAGCCGCGCACCTCTCGACGTGCCGGAGGAAGTTGTGCCCCAACCCGCGGTTCTCGTGCGCGCCCTTGATCAGCCCGGGGATGTCCGCCACGGTCACGGACGAGAGACCGCCGTCGAGCTTGACCGCCCCGAGCTGCGGGGACATCGTCGTGAACGCGTAGTCCGCCACGTTCGGCCTCGCGTCGCTTATCGCTCGCAGCAACGTGCTCTTCCCCGCGTTTGGTAACCCGACCAAGCCGAGATCCGCGACGGACTTCAGCTCTAGGACGACGGTCAACTTGCCGCCGTCAGCGCCCTTGTCCGCCGTTCCCGCCAATTCTCCTCTCGGTTTCGCCCTGTTCCCCTTGCCGCCTCTTCCCCCTTTCGAGAGGAGGATGCGTTTCTTGTGCTCGTCCATGTCCGCCAGAACTTTCCATTTTCCCTCGTGTATTCCCCGCGGCCGCGTGCCTCGGTTCGGGTCGACGAGTGCCTTCGTCGTCGTCGTATTTTCGTCGTCGTCGACTTCCCCATCCCACACCGGGTCTTCGCTGCCCCACTTCGAGAAGTCAATCCCGGAGCCGCCGCCGACGCTCACTATTTCATCCCCGTCGTCTCCCTCGATCTCTTGCCAGACGACCGTGCCGAGCGGGACTTTTAGCTCGACGTCCTCTCCTCGTCGTCCGTTCGACCCTTGCTTCGCGCCTCTACCTCCGTTCGTCGCCGCGACTCGAAACGGAATGCTTCCCAGACCTTTCACGCTGGACAGGGATTGGACGTACACGCTGCCGCCCATCCCGCCGTGGCCGCCGTCCGCGCCTCGGCGTCCGCGGGAACCTCCGTCCTTCATGAAGCTCACCGCGCCCGAGCCTCCGTTTCCCGCGGTCACGACGACGCGCCTTCTGTCGATGAATTTCTTGTCTTTCACCTTATCGTCGCCTCCGTCGTCCCCGCCCCCGATCCCGTAGTCCTCGGGGTCGTATCCGTACGTGCCCGTCGTCATGGCGCGTCGAAGGAATCGGGCGGCGTGGAAATCCGAAAGCGCGTGAAGGCACGGCGACGCGCGGGCGAGTCCGCGAGGAGGCGCCGCGATCGAAGTCGCCGTCAGCCCGCGCGAGCAGCGACGCGCGAGCGCACGCAGCGACGACGCCATCGCGGGAACGAAGGACGACGCTTCGTCAGCGAGCGCCCTCGCGCCTACCCTAATGAGTGGTGCCGACAGCGTGAAAGCAGTGTGAGTGGAAATCGAGCCGATAGCCGAGAAGAGCAGACGGAGAGCAGACGAGCAGCGGCGCAGCGACCACCTTCTGCGACCAAAACGGAACGGCAGGAATCCTTCGCAAACGGCAGCGCGCGGGCGGCACGCGCGCGGAGGCGTCCATCCGCGTTCGTCGACGGCGCGTCTCAAGATGACGCAGATGAGTGCGCCGGCGAGGAAAGTCCCGCTCGAGGACATCCCGGTCAGGCCGGGGATGACGAAAGAGTGCGTGGCTCCTAAATTCTTTTGGCTCCTCCTTCGTCGTCCCTCCTCCGCCTTCCCTTCCTCGTCGCTGACCGTCTCGTCTCCTTCGTCTTTCCATCCGCAGCGAGGTGGCGGAGCTGTTCGACCTGAGGGACTACATGAAGAACGAGCGCAGCGGCATCCTGCTGGACCTGTACTTCAACTGCCTAGCGTGAGTTCCCGCGCGCTTTGACCGCGGCGCGGACGATCGATTCCTCCCCCTCTCGCTCGCTCATTTTTTTCTCCCCCGCCGCGTCTTTCTCCTCGCTGACCTCGAGCTTTCTCCGTGTGTTCACAGATACGCGAGCACCTGCGGGTTTACCACGGAGAAGACGTCCACGTTCCTCGCCATCGTGAAAGCGGTGCACGTCAAAGCCGTGAGCGAGACGCAGACGATCGCGAACAGCTTCGGCTTTTTCAAGCTCCTCGCCACGCAGAGCAGCGTCCAGCGACCGCCGTACAGCCTCGGGATCTTCTCGTTCGCGGAGATGAAGGAGATGTCCGAGTACATGCTCAGCACGTACTACCGTCACTACAAAATCTATCAGTACGCGTTCACGACTTTGGTCAGGATGGACGTGCAGCACGTCGAGCCGCTCTTCGAAACGTCCGTCGCGTTCGAGCCGCTCGGGTTCGCGATGACGGAGGAGGAGTACGACGCGAAACAGGAAGAGATCGCGCGTCTCGCGGCGGAGGCGAAGGTGAAGGAGGAAGAGGAGGCGGCGGCGTTGGAGGAGGAGGAGAGAGAGGCGCGGTTGAAGGCGGAGTACGAAGCCGCGATGCCGGAGGAGGTGACGACCAAGGTGGCGGAGGTTCTCGCCGCGTCGATGGCGCAGATGAAGGAAGAACTCGAGGCGAAGTTCGCGGAGCAAGAGCAAACGCTCTTGGCGAAAATAGCCGCGCTCGAGGCGAAGTAAGTAGAGTTTGTAACCTTAGATCGGATAACAACGCGTCACGCGGGCGCCGTCCCGTTTCCGCCCGGCTTTTCGTCCGGCTTCTCCGGGAGTTTCGTAAACAACGGGATGTCTTCGATCGGGGTGTCGACGATCGCCGCGATCTCTTCTTCGCGTTCACTATCGATATCGTCGACCACGGTGTCCACCACCGCGTCGACGCTGTCTTCCGCCGCGACTAGCGGCGCGCTCGAGGCATTGGACGCTTCCGCGACCACCTTTTGCGCCGCCGCCGCCGGGACAGTCTGCCCGCTCGCGACCGCCTCCTTCACTTTGACCCCCTCAGACGCTTCGCCGTCCTTCTTCTGCATCGCTATTTTAGCCAGCTCGTAGCCGGCGAAGTTCATCGCCCCCAGCGGCGCGATCCACGCCATCCTCGGTATCCAGCCCTTCATGAGCGCCCCCGGCCCTTCCTTCTGCACGATGGTTCTCACCGTGATCCAAATCGCCTCACCCGCTGGAGAGCCTCCGGTCATCGCTCTCGTCTTGAGCACGTCCGCGGGGGTCGTGCACGCCGCGGCGATCGCGCCCGACATGCCCCCGACCGCGATCGTCTCCACCGCGGTCAAGTCTCCGCGTTTGATGGCGCGCGCCGCGTTCTTCAGCTTTTCGTACGCGACCAAGCCTATGACGTAAAACGGGATCTCACGCGACAGCGTCGCCGCGGTGCCCGCGAATAAACCCTTCGGCCCGTTCGCGGTGACGGCTTTGAACGCCTCCATCACGTTCTCGTACTGCCCCGTCTGCAACCTCTGCTTCAGAACTTCGCACGGGATCCGCACACCCGTGCCGACGAGCGTGCCGACGCCCGAGCCGAAACCTTGAATCTGGATCTCGGTTATCAGCGGTAACATCGCGAGCGGCGCCGCGAGTTTGCACACGACCTCGTACGTCGCCGTCCTCAGCCCGTGACCGGACGCGGCGCCGAGAACCGCGGGGAAGATACCTCGGTACAGCGGCCGAATGCCAATCTTTTTGATGTTCATGAAGAACGCCTTCAGCCCTGGTCCCGCGCCTACGGTGGCTTGTATGCGCGTCTTCAAGGTGTCAAGCGGGTGCATGCACGCGGTGGACGTCCCGGACGCGAGGGCGCCCGCGATCGCAGCCTGAATCGCGAGCTTCACCGTCGCGCTTCGGCCCTTCTCCGGAGGGTTAAGCTGGATCATCGTCGCGGACTCGAACCAGAGCACGGACGGATCCGTGGACGACGCGACGTCCCGAGGGAGGAGCATGAGGAAGTTACGGAACTGTCCGTACGAGACGTATCCTTCCGTGCCCATCGCGAGGTGTTTTAACATCGCCGCCGCGTTCTCGTCCGTCGCGGGTAAACCGAGACGCGTCAGCGCTTGTTTCACGTCCGCCGGTCGCATCGTCCCGCTCCTGCTCAGACCGAGGCTGTTGAACGCGCGTAACATCGTGGACTCTCTCTCGTCCATCACGCTCTTGAAATCTTCCCAGCCGATCGTCCTCGCGAAAAACGTCGGCTTCGCCTTCTCCATGAACGCCTTGGCGTACCACTGCGGTAAATTTCGCTTCCGCATCGCGACCTGCGTGAGGAGACGTGGGGCGGCGAGTCAGAAAAAAAATCTTGGTTGGAAAACCCAATAATGTTCGTGAAATCGTCGTCCCGACGCGTTCTCGGATCGCTCCGTCGTCGCACCTTGAGGTCGTCGAGCTTGAGCCTCCCGTCGCCGTCCGTGTCCATCTCGTTGAAGAAACGCTTGCCTGATGACGAAAGTCGCGGTCGTGAGCTCGGATCGAGAACGAAACCACAGGACGGGAGGGAAGGGGAGGGGAGTAGTGGTTGCCGAGTGACGACGCGTCAGCGCACCTTCGTCTTCGGTGTATCGAAAGAAATCCTCCACGGAGCTCAGCCGACGTCGGTCCGGTTTGAACTCCGTGGACGTGAAGTCGTCGTACGCCTTCTTCAGTTCGGGGACGCTCAACTTCTTCACGTCGAAACCTTCGAAACCGGCCTCGGCCATCCGCCTGGCGAACGCTTCCTTCGTCGACTTAAATTTCTCAACCGCTCCCTCGGGGTCGAGGCGCGCGAGGAAGAAGAAGCGCTTGTGGATCGGCGCTCGTATCGAGCGGCTCATCGTGAACGGCTCCATTTGACCGTCCCCGTCGCCTAGCGGCGGCCTCCACGACATGCTTGCGCGGTGTTGGGCGCGGATCTGTGACTCAGATCAGAATAATTCACGCGTTTTGGCTGCCTGACGCTGACGGCAGCGGCAGGCTGACGGCGGCCGCGGAAGGATATTCAGCGATAAGCCTCAGCCGCCGCTTCGGGTCGGACAGTGCCAGACCCGCGACGCTCAGGTTATCGACGACCGACATGTCGGCCGCGCTCTGTCCCACCCTCGCCGTGCTGACCACCGAGCATCGCGCGAAGCCGTCGGCGCGCCGCCCCGCGCGCGCGTCCGCCGTGTCGAGAACCTTCCGTCGATCCCGCGACGCCGTCATCTCGCGCGCGAAAGATGCCACCGACGAAGCCCTCACCGAGGTCGCGAACATGGACTCGCTCATCGACCTCATGGTCGCCGCGGACGAGGACGCGCTCGTCAAGCTCGTCGCAGAGAACGTCCTGAGCTTCGACCAGAAGATGTGGATCCGCATCGCCGCGAGGAGCGACGCGGCGGACTCGCAGGAGTCCAAAGACAAATTAATGGCTTTGGCTGGACGGTGCATGAAGCTCATCGAGACCATGGTCGAGACCACGGAGAGCACGATCCAGGAGAGCAGCGTCGCGCTGGAGACGATCGTCGCGACCGCGGCGGACCCGGAGACCGGCGAGTTCGACGTCCCTCTGAAGGCGGAGTCCATCGCGAGGTTGAGGAAAGCCGTGGACGACGCCGTCGTGGACGAGCGGATGTTGAACACCGTGTACGCGTGGATACGCAAATCGGACGAGGATAAGCTGGACGGGATGGTGCACATCCTCCAGCACTTGCTGCAGTGCTACGCCGCGAGGGAGCTCGACAACGGGGAAACCCCGTTGGACGTCGTCATCGGCGCCGCCGCCTCGGAGTGGCCGGCGAAGTTCGAGGAGATCATCGAAGGCGGCTTCGGCGAGGAAGCGTTCACGAGGGACCTCCAGAAGCGAATGGAGGGCGTCGTCCTGAACCTTCCGAACGGTTCGTACGCGCAGCGCGTGCAGGCTGAGTACCTCAAGGAAGTGGAGGATCGGGGTAAGGAGCTGTACTCGGCGAAGGCGGCGTGAACGATACGAGACAACAAAATATACTCCCCGCCGCGCGCTACTATCGTCTACCCCTATCCTCGTCCCCTAACACCGCGTTCCTCGTCCATTTCATCACCGCCTCGATGTTCGCCCCGGTCAACGCGCTCGCCTCTATCACCGTCAACCGCGCGCCGAGAACCGCGCGCGCGGCGTCGATATCGAACGTGGCTTCGATGTCCCCGCGCGCGAGCACCCTCGGGGAGTCGATTTTGTTCAGCACCAAGAGCACCGGCTTCCCGTCGAGCGCGGGAAGACCGCAGAGGTGGTGAAACGCCGCCGCGGAGGCGGCAAGCTGGAACGAGTCCGCGGCGTCCACGACGTACATCATCCCGGTCGATTGGTTCGCGACGTACTGCGAAGACGAGAGGAGAGAGCGAGGTTGGGCGTCAGTCGACGGCACGAAAGGGAAGAGTCCGCGATGTGCGCACCGTGGGCCACAGCGGCATCATCGCCCCGCCGATTTCTTTCATGCACACGTTCCTTTTCTTATCTATGGCGATGGTGCTGATGTCCACGCCGACCGAGGGGACGACGTCCGCGTCTACGTGCGCCTCGACCCTGCCGGATTTCTGCAGACCCATCAACCTTCGGAGCGCGAGGGACTTTCCCGCGCCGCCCACGCCGAGGACGACGACGGGAGGGCTCGGGTCTGCCATGGCTCCGTGATATTTGCCCACCAGACCACCTCGGCGTGTCTCGATGCGACGAACTAGTTCACGCGCATGCCACCAGCGGGCGCCCGCTCGAGTGTTCGTTTGGATTAATCAAAATCTGAAAAAACGACAGCTCGCTTGTTGCATCAGTGACGAGCAAATTCGCACTCACGAGCAGCACAACGACGCGCGCGATGAGCGACGTGAACGCGCGCCTCGCCCTCGCGGTGAGCACGATAGCGTTCGGATACTTCCTTCGCAAGATCGGCCTCGTGGACATCGACGTCGGGAAAGCCCTGCTCAAGGTCCTGTTCAACGCGACGCTGCCCTCGGTGCTCCTCGTCGTCTTCGCGTCCCTCACGTTCGACGCGCAGTCCGCGTCCGTGGCCGCGTGCGCGCTCGCGCAAGCCGGCGTCCTGTTCCTCGCGCACTTCGCGTTTCGAGGCGGCGGAAGAGAACCGAAAGACTTGGCGCTCATGACCGGGTCCACGGTCGGCGTGAACCTGGGAACGTTCTGCTACCCCCTCGTCGACGCGGTGTGGGGCGCGGAGGGTCTCACGCGCTTGGTCCTCTTCGACGCCGTGAATCAGTGGTCGCTGCTCGTCTTCGCGCCGCTCTTGTACGCCTCCGCGGTCGCGGGGAAGTCGTTCTCCCCGCCCGCGGCGCTCGCGAACGTGGGCAAGCAGCTCACGAGCCCGTGCATGCTCGCGCTCTTCGTCGGCGTCGCGCTGCAAGTCCTCGGGTGGTCCCTCCCGTCGCCGGTGGTGGCGTTCACGTCCTCGCTCGCGGCGGCGAACAAGCCGCTCGCGCTGCTCGCGCTCGGGATCCTGTTCGATCCGGTGTTGAGACCCGGCCAGCTGCGCGACATCGCGTCGTTGTTATGTCTCAGATACGGCGCCTCCCTCCTCCTCGGCGCCGCGGTGTTATTCACGACCGCGAGCGCGATGGGCGGCGCGTGCGCGGGCGTCGTCCTCGCCGCGTTGATCTCCCCGGTGCCGCTGCTCACGGTGACGTTCGCGATCGAGTACGGATGCGACATCGGCCTCGGCGCGAGCGCGGTGAACCTCGCGAACGTGTGCTCGTTCGCTCTGCTTCTTATCGTCGCGAACGCGGACTTCGCGAGCCCGGCCGCGCTCGCGCCGAGGGTGTTCGCGGCGGGCGTCGCGCTCGCGGCTTTGGGCGCGGCGGGCGCGAGGAGGACGAGACGCGCGGACGAGACGCCGACGCCCGCGGCGGCGAGCGCGAGCGCGGCGGCGCGCGCGGAGCGTTTTCCGAGGCGAAGGACGGTCGTCGTCGGGACGGTCGCGGGAGCGATCGAGTCGCGGCGCGGAAGAGTCCCGAGTCTGGTTTTGAAACCGGGAGTGCGAACGGTTCGGGGACGGTTTCACGCGGCGGCGGCCGTCGCGCGTTCGCGGGAAGGGAACGTCGGGACGCGCGCGTCATTCGCCGCCGTCGCGAGGGGGGGGATATTCGTAGGGTGAACGCGCGCTGTTACAGTACACGTTATCTAAGTCATCTAACGTGTCGACTTTTCTCGCGCCACGCGCTACAAGACAAAGTCCATATTCACCGGGTGTTTGAAGAACAGCACCGCGGACGTCTTCGGGTCCTTCAGGATCCGGCTGCACCCTTTCGAGACCTCACCGGATTTTTTCGACGCAGAGACGACTAAGAAGTCCGCCTTGACGGTCTGCATCAGTTTCGGAAGCTCGACGGCCGCTTTGCCGTCGACGTTGTGCGTGAACGGCGTGTACCCGCGGGCGATCGATTTGTCCTTGAACAGACTGAGGAGGTTGCTCGAGTTTCCTCCGTCGCGCGACACACCCGCGCTGAGTTCCGTTCCACTGCAGTTCACGAAGTGCATCCTGTCTTTCCCCCTCCGAGCGAGTTCACTCACCCACTCGAACATCGCCAGCGACGACGGTTCCACTCCGAGCATCCAATTGACGTGCTTGTCGATGTTATCGTGCGCCTGCGAGTGCGACTTGACGACGAGCAGCGAGCACGGCAGCGGCTTACGCGTGAGCGCGACGGCGACCGAGCCAATCTTCGTCTCCACGGATCGATCGAGTTTCACGGACGCGACGACGATCATCGTGGCTTGGATCTCCATGGCGTGTTGGACGAGCATGTCAGGCACGCTCAACCCCGCTTGCTGGATCAAAACGTGTCTCACCACGGGCACCACCGCCTCCACGTCGAACTGCGACAGCATCTTCCGCGCTTTGGGTTCATCCTGAACCTTGCACACGTTCACGAGGTGGATCTTGTCCACCCCGGCGAGGGTCAAGCCGTCGACGATCTCTAAGGCGTGCTTGCACTGATCGTTGTTATCAATGCACACCATGAATTCGTGCCGCGTCGTCGACGACGTCGACCCGAGCACGAGCGCCGCGCCCCCCTCGAGCCCTTTCGCCGCCATCGCCATCACGCTCTTCTTCACTAACGTCTGAAAACCGACGTTGGCGTCCTGCACCGTGTTCATGAACATCGCGAGACGCATCGGATCTTCAACATAGTCAGCGCCCACGTCTTTCAGGGCATCCGCCGCGGGGTCGATGAGGACCCCCATGGACCGGATCGCGTCGACGTGCGTCAAATCGTTCGCGTCAATCTGCGGGTACACCGCGGGGACCGCCTTGAGATGGCGCATCGGTTGAGCGTCTCCTAGTTTGTGTTCCAGACAGAACGAGGGCGTGAACCGAAAACCGTCCATCGCCGACTGCAGCGCGGAGAGTTTTATCATCCAAACGCCCGTGTCGCTGTACATCATCGAGTTCCCTTCGCCGTCGCCCTCGTTGAACATCTTCGTCATCACCGCATTGCCCGCGCTCGTGTTGAGCTCGTCCACGTTGAAGATGCGCGCTAGATATTTCGTGTATGCACCCTCTTTCGTCGTCGGACGATGCGCGACGATGTTCCCCCACTTCCGACAGCTGTGCAGCGAAGTCTGGACCGCTTTAAATACCAAATTCATCTTGTGCTGCTCTTCCAGGTGCATGACGTGCGCTTGAAAGTTCACGTCGAACCCCGAATCCTGGATGAGCCTGATGTGCGTCTTGTAAATCCACTCAACCCCTTGCGTGGACAAGATGTCCATAGCGCTCTCCACGACGTGCCCTTTCGTTCCGCGGTTGCCCACTATCTTATACGCCTCGCCCGGGTACGTAAGGAGCTCCATGGCGTGCGCCGAACCGTAACGCCCAGGTTTCGATGTGCTATCTTCACGAAATATGTTCAGATCTTCGACGTATCGAAACCCCGGCATACTCGGCTGGTTCACGAAGAGCAACTTCTCTTTGTTCAAGCCGTAATAATCGTTCGCGTGGAAATCTTTCAGAATCATCGACTCGGTCGCGTCGGAGGTTATTATTATGACCGGCAGCAACCCCGCCGCCTTAGCGCCGCAATTTTCTGTGACGTCGTTTACGAGTTGCGTCATCATCCGAGAACCGAAGGACATGTGCTCCACGTGCGTCGGGGGAGCGCGTATCCGCGGAGGCGGCCCGAACGGGAAAACCGGCGACGCGTCTTCGTCGAACTCTCCGCGAGCTATTGCCGCGTCTCTCTCTTCCTTATACTCCGGACTCTTCAGGTAACGACTTTTCGCGATCTCGTGCTCTTCGTCTCGAGTCTTTTGTTCCATCTCGATGAGGAGCTCGTAAGGATCCATAGAATACAGCGGCTGTCTGTTTCCGTCTACTTGCACCGGCCCGAGGTCCCCGGCGAAGATGATCACGGCAGTCTTCCCGTACTTCGCGTTCGATTTCGCGTCCGAGGTCCAACGCATCACGTCCGCTTTCGACGCCGGGTTCGTCAACCACGTCTTGTGCGACTGCAACAGCGGACACAAGAGCGGATCTTTCATCTTCTTCTCTCCTTCCGCGTCCGTCAAGGTCTCGAGCCCCGCGAATTCGTTCGCGCGCGACAGGAACACGTCAAGGAGTCGCAAAGACGAATCCACTCTTTCATCCGTCACGGGCACGCCCAGAAGCATCTCGGTGTCTTTAAGCAGCTTCGCCGCGGCGGCGGCGTCGAATAAGTGCTGTATGTCGTCATCGTCGTGATCGTCTTCCGAGACGAAAACGTCAGTTCGCTCCTCTTGGGTTTCTTTCGCTGCCTTAACGAGAGCCTTTCTCTTCGCGACCGCCTGCTTCGCTTTCGCTTTCAATCTGCCGCTCTTCTTCTCCGCCACCTCTTTTTCCTTGGCCGCGCGGTTCTTGTCCGCCTCCTCCTTGATCTCCGAGATCGCCTTCTTAGCCTTCGCGTACTCCGCTAGGAAACTCGGGTAGTCGTCGTCCAGGGCCTCTTCTATCGCGGGGGGCATCGTGTCGAAGTAGTTCCTCCTCTTGCTCGTCAGCCCGAAATCGAGGATTTGCAATACGGACAACGTCGCCGCGGCGTGCTCCTTCGCCCGCGCGACTCTCTCGCGCCAGTTCAGCGAGTGCGAGCGCTTCAAGATCGGTAGCTCCTCCGCGTGCGCGGCGGACTTCGCAGCCGCCGCTCGTTGCGCTTTCGTCTGCGCCTTGAAATTCAGCGACTCGTCCATGCGATTGGCGAGTTCGGTCACGCGCTCTTTCAGTTTCTCGGTGACGACGTGCTCTTCCCTCCTCCCGACCGCGTGTCGTTCTGTCCCCATGATGAAGTCCAGGCGCTCGGTCTGGGACATGTCCTCTATCTTCATCGCCTCCGCTTTCACGTCTTCGTCATTGACTTCCCTGCGGGTGTGATGGACGGGTAGGTAGTGGGCGTTGTTAGTCGCCTCGCATTGTTGTTCGGACGGTCGAACGACCGATTCCGAATTGGGGGTGCTTTGGTCTCGGGCGAGCGCGGCTCACCCGACTGCGGGTTTGCTCGGCGCGCCATCACCCCCGGGTTTGACCCTCTTGGCCTTGGACGGCACGCTGCCCATCTCTCTTGAGCGGCGACCACCGTCGCGCGCGTTCAGTATGGGGGGGGCGCGGGTTCAATCGCCCGGAGAATCTCGGTCGAAAAAACGCGCGTCAAACTCAGCATGGCGTTGCTCGAGTGGGAGCTGGAGGTCGTCAGGTCGTGCGTGCACTTGATTTGCGTGCGAGAAAGGGTCTGTCTGACAGTGTGTGTGTTTCCTCTTCTCAAGGCTAGTTACCCGCGCCCCCCGTGGCGTCCTCGACTAATTTCTTCAAGTCCGCCATCACCTTCTGCTCCCTGAGCGCCTTCTCTTCGTAGTTGATCATCGCCAGCGCCGCCTTCTCCTCCGCGCTGTACACCTGGTTCTCCTTCCGAATCCGAATCGCGTTCATCCTCGAGTGCCGCGACCCGCTCATCACGTATCCGAGATCCTCGAATCGGGAGATCTCGTCCGCGGACAGACCGACCTCACCTCTTCGCGGGATGCGCTTCCCCGCCTGGACGTACTGCGCCATCGCGTCGCCCTCTCCCGGTCGCAGCGCTTGACCAAAGTCCGACCCGCTCGCGTGCACGACTTGCGGCGGAGGCGCCGGACCGACGAAGTCGTCCCCGCCGGCTTCCGCCGCCGCCGCCGCCGCCGTCGCCGCCGCCGCCGCCGCCTCGGCCTCGTGCGTTTTTTGCTTCTCCAGGAACTCCTGGAACCTGCGGGCTTCGTCCGCGCCTTCCGCGCCTCCTGGTCCGTCCGCGCCGCCGGCCGCGTCGTCGTCGCTCGAACCGCTCGAGCTTCTGCCGCTCGACGACGACGAAGAGTCGCCGCCGCTGCTGCCGCTGCTGCTGCTGCTGCTGCTGCTGCTGCTCGAGGACGGCGACTTCGCCTTTCTCTTGCGTCTCTTCCCGCTCTTCTTCTTCTTCGGGGGAGGGGACTCTCTCTTCTTTCTCTTTTTCGTTTTCTTCTTCGCGGGCGCGTCCGAGTCGCTGCGACGGGAGAGAGGGTCGACGAAACGGGAGGCGTGAGCTCGCGACGGGGGCGCGACGACGTGATTTTAGGTTTGGCGGAGGCGCGAGATCGAGCGCACCTCTTCTCGTCTTCGACCTTCGCGGGTTTCTCTTCCTCGCGCGGCGGCTCTAACTGCGGCTCCGGCGACGGGCTCGGCGTGTTCGCCCACATGAACATCGTCTTCGAGAGCTTCTCGCGCTTCAGCCTGCGGAAGTCCTGATAATCGACCGCCTTCGCGCGAAGCTCCTCGTCCCCGGGATCGTCGCCCCCGCCTCCGCGACCGGGCGGGCCGGGGGGACCGCCCCTGCCGCCGTAGCCGCCGTAGCCGCGGTTATCCCTCGGCGGTCCGCGACCGCGATCGTAGTCTTTGCGGTACGGCGCGTACTCGGGCGAGGCCCCGCGTCCGCGTCCGTCGCCGCCGCCGCCTCTTCCGCGATCGGCACCACCGCCGCGGTCGCGTCGATCGCGGCTGTCCCGTCGCGGCGGCGGGCTCCGTCGTCGATCTCGCGACCGGGATCGGCGCCGCGGCGGCGACCGTGAGCGCCGCCGAGGCGACGGCGAGCGGCTTCGACCTTCGTGGCGACCCATCTCGCGTCGCGCGTTGTGACGCTCGCGCGGACGCGGCGGAGCATTTTCGGCCCCGGCGCTTGGCGTCCGCTGGGCAGTTTCAGTGCCGCCGCCAGCCTCCGCGGCTTTTCCTGTCACGGGCGAGCACGTCCGGTCGGCTTCTCCCGGCACGTCGGCGACGTCGAAGAAACGAGGAACATCACTCGACGATCTCATCGGAACGTAAAGGTTGGCTACGTAACGATTAAGACTACGCCGCGGCCGCGCGCGCGACGTCGACCCCGAGCGCGCGCTCCCGGGTCGTCTCCCACACCCTCGCGAACGTGTGAAACTCCCCGTTCTCCCCGCGCGCGTCCACTTTCGTCCTTCTCAACGCCGCGCAAAACTCCTCCCCGAACGTCGCTCCCACTCTCACCCCCGCCGCGCGCGCGGCCTCGCTCCTCACCGCGGTCACCTTGACGACCACGCCGCTGCTCGCGAGGTCGGCCTCGAGTTTCTCGTACGTCGCGCGCCACAGCGGAAACCGCACCTCCAAGCCCAACGCGTCGCCGACGATCGCCTCTCTCCACTCCCGCGCTCGCGCGAGGTGCAGGTCCCCGCACGCGACGTCCGTGATCTCGCACCCGCGCGCGCGCACCGCGTCGATCGCGGCCCTGAGCCGCGGCACGTATCCACCGTACCCGCTCCAATCGCTGCCGCCGCCGTGCAGCGGGACGCCCACGAGCGCGAGGTCCAGGTGCCTCGCCTGCGCGACGACGTCGCGGCAGTGCACGTCCCGGTGCGGAATCTTCCTCGAGGACGCGTCGAACGTCGTCACGAGGACGATCGACCGCGCGCCCCGCGAGATGGGACGATCCCCCGGGCGCGAGCATCGCGCGCAGGGCGAGCAGCGAGTCCTTCCCGCCGCTCCAGAACAGCGCGGTCGCCTTCGTCGGCAGAGCGCCCTCCTTCGGGACGTGCATCACGCTCGGGACCTGGATCTTCTCCGGTTTCTCCTCGTCCTTGACGTTCTCGTGCGCGTACGCGCAGTGCCTGCACCCGTTGCCGCAGCACACTCCGCGCGCGAGATGCTTCACCCTCGTCATCACGGTGAGCCCGGTGCACGGATCGACGTAGAAGTGGTCTCCGCGAGCGCACGCGGTCTCGTGGTGATCGTCCCAGCAGATGTCCTCGATGTCCGGGAGCGCCCCGGGTTTCGCGCGAGGGATATACACGCCCTCGGCTTTGATGTCCTCCATCGACATGCAGCTCATGACGACGGCGGCGCTGAGAACGTCCGTCCGTCTCTCAGCGCCCCGGGGAGGCGCGACCGATCGTCCGTCCGTCCCTCAGCGCCCCGGGGAGGCGCGACCAAAAAGTGCCCTCGAGCCCGCCGTTTGACGCGCGAAAAAGCGCGCGCTGCAACGACTCTTTATCCGTCCGAGTCAGCACCACGGCGTCACACCATGGCGCAGCCGGTCGCGCACCTCGTCCCGTCGAGCGCGGCGCTCCCGCGTCGCGTCTCGTCGCGACCCCGCGGACGACGCTCGCTCGCCGTCCGAGCCGGCGGCGTCGCCGCGTTCGAGGACGTCGAGCAGCTGTGGGGTGCCGTGCACATCGACGCGACGACGAAGGAGCGCTGCTGGTTCGCCGCGTACGACGCGCCGTTCCACGGCGTTCCCTCCGGGCCGTACATGGGAGGGAGAGTCGCGGACATGAACGCGCACATCGCGAAGCGGCACCGCGTCTTCTTAGAGCGCTCCAGGAGGGAGCTGTGCGGTCACGAGATCGCGCCCCAGGAGTTCGCGGAGGCGCTCGAGCGAATGCGGAGCGTCCTCGGCGTCGGCTTGGACGGCGCGGTGAAGTGCGTGTTCGGCGAGCCGTCGCTGCTCGCGGCGGACAAGGCCGAGCTCGTGCGCGGCCTCGTGACGTTGCGGATCGAACACGAGGGCGAGGACATCGCGGAGCTCGTCGTGAAGAGCCGAGGCGCGTTGTTAGCGGGCGCCGCGCACGTCGTCTGCGAGGCGGAGGACGACGACCGCGCCTCCGCCGCCGACGACGACGATCCGGAAGACCTGAGGTGGATCTCGTGGTACTCGAAGAAGACGAAGGAGGTGGAGACGAGCGCGCGCGATCATAGAAGTAGATACGAGCGGCGACTACGACCCTAGCTGATGTCTATGACTACCTACGATGCTTCTCATTCGAACGCGCCGAGATCCCGCACGGAGTCCAAAAAGTCCAAATACTTGTCGTCATCCTTCTTCGGCTCGTCCGATCCCGCCTGCTTCAGCGGCGCGGTGATGAGCACCCTCTGCCGTTTCGACGGCGGCACGGCCTCTCTGTCGCGCTGTATCTTCACCGACGCGGGCACGAGCGCTTTCAACGCCGGGTTGTGATGCGCGGGCAGCTGCTTCTTCACCGTCGGCGCCGCGCCGATCGTGTGCGCCGCCGCCGCGCGGTCGCGAGGCGGGGGCGCGCGCGGGACCGGCGGCGCGGCGTTCACCCTCCGCGGGAGCTGCATCATCGCGGGCGGCGGCGCCATCGCGGCGCGCGGTTGCATCGGAACCATCACCGGGACCATCACCGGGACCATCGCGGGGACGGGCGCGAACCCGGGGGGAGGGCCGGGCGGCGGCGGCGGCGGCGGCGGGTCCTCGCCGTCCGTCGGCGGCGGCGGAGGCACCGGCGGCATGTCGTCCTCGTCGTCCTCGCCGACGGACGGAGGAGGCCCTGGCGGCGGCGGCAACGGCGCTTCGTCGTCGTCGAAAGCCGGCGGAGATCCCGGAGGAGGGCCCGGCGGGGGTCCGGGGGGCGGCCCGGGAGGGGATCCGGGGGGCGGCCCCGGCGGTTCCCCGGGCGGCGGCCCCGGCGGCGGTCCCGGCGGCGGCCCCGGCGGCGGTCCCGGCGGCGGTCCCGGCGGCGGCTCCAACGGTGGCGGTGGCACCGACGGCGGAGGAGGCTGAACACCGGGAGGAGGCCCTCGCGGCGGAGGAAGCAGCTCCCCTTCCACGTACATCTCCACCGGGGCGTACTCTTCCTCTTCGTCGTCGTCGTCCTCCTCCTTCTCCGCCTCCCAAACCTCCGCGGTCGCTCGGTACTTCTGCGGCTTCCCCGCGGGCGGCCGCCCCGACGGGTTCAGCGTCGGGTGGTAGTACACGGAATCCTGCGGCTTTCTCTCGCCGAGACCCACGAGCCCTTTCCCGACGGTCGCGAGCTCCGTGCCGACTGGTCTCAACGCCGCGATCGTGTTCTTCACCTTCGGCACCACGGGCGCGGGCGCGTCCTTCTTCCCCGCGTTCGCTTTCTTCTCCTCCGCGTGCCACTTGATCGCCTTCTCGAGCTGCAAGATTCGCTGCTCTTGGACGTTACTCGCGAGCCCCATGCGCTTCGCGTTCTCGAGCTTCGCGAGCTCGGCTTTCAGGGAGCCGACGTCGGCGGATTGGAACGCTTCATCTCTCGCTGACTTGCGAAGCGCCTTGTTCTTCGCGAGCTCTTTCTTCTTCTGCTCGCGCCGGTACTTATCCCCGGGCGCTAGCGACTGCGACGTGAACGGGAGACGGGGGTGGACGCGTCAGCGGGGCGTCGTCGTCGAGGACGGCGGAGAAGCCAACCCTAAAATGCGACGGACGGAGTGGAAAACGACGAAGAGCGACGGTCCGCGCGAGATCTCGTCGACGACGCGCGCGCGCGCGCACCTTCCCCATGGCGAAAGTCTACGCCTCGTCCGCGCGCGCGCGGTGTCCGCGGTCAGAGCCGTGCTCCTCGCCCAACGACCGCGCGTGCGCGAGTGGCCGCCGCCGTGGACGAGGCGTTCGGCTTCGTCAATCGAAACGTTGGACGATCTCATCGCGCGTGCCGAGTCGCGCCCCGAGTTTGAGCAGCAGAGCTCGTCGCCCCTTTTGGCACGGACGTCGCCCCCGCGCGCGGTCGTCACAACGCGACGCGCGAGGCGAACCGATCGGCGCGCGTTCGCTGTACTCGCGCGAGCCACCGCGTTCCACCGCACCTCGCGAACGCGATGACGTCCGAGACGTCGTCCGAGACGTCGTCCGAGGTTGGCGCGTCGCCGACGTCGGAGGAGGAGTGGGTGAATCCGTTTCCGGTCCCCAGAGAACCCGGGCATCAAGTCCCGAGGACGTTCGAGAGGCAGGAAGCGGGCACGCACGTGCAGATCAAGCTCGCGAACGAGGAGTTCGGGCAGCGCATGGACGTGCAGGAGATGATGATGAAAGTGATGCAAGCGACGATCTGCTCGTGCCCGGAGGACCCGCTGCAGTTCATCACGGATTACCTCGAGCGCGAGCTCACGGGGGAAGGGAACGAGGCGATTAAGAACGGGTTCGTGGACCCGAACGAGACGAACGTGCACGATTACGCGGGGAACGTCAAGTTCCAGATCGTGCTTCACCGGCTGTCCTCCGCGCTCATCGAGTTCAAGCCGGAAGGGGACCCGCTGTCGTTCGCGGTGGAGTACCTGAAGAAACTCAAGGAGGACCCGGAGCCGCGGCGGTGACGAGAACGACAGGAGCGACGATTGCGAATGGACGTGGCACGGCGCCGCCGCCGGCCGCGACGGCAACATAGACAGAGTTAGCTACTTTAATCACGACTCCCGAGGAGCTCTAAACGTTCCACGTGCGCGAGCGCGAAGTCCACGTCGCACCACGACGGGACGTCGTCCGCGTTCTTCGAGGTCGACGCGATCACGTCGCGAACCGCGCGTATCAATGCCCTGCGCGTCGTCGTCCCGTCCCCGCCGCCGACGACGGCGTTCGCGTCGTCTCCGTTCCCGTCGTCGCCCTCCGCGGCGACGGCCGCGCGCGTCAGCTTATGAATCTCTAGCGCGCCTCGAACCGCGTCGAGGACGCGATCGGCGACGCCGAGGACGCCGAACCTGTACGCGCGGCCGGCTCGCATCGCATCCGCGATGGAAGCGTTCGACGTCGACGGCTGCACGCGTCTCTCCTTCGCGATTCGCTCCCCGCTCCAGCCCAGTTCGAGGTGCATTCTGTGCGCCTCGATCTGCCTCGGCGCGAGCGTGTCTTGCTTTTCTTGCGGAAGCGCGGGAGTTATCTCGTTCGGATCCACGGAACACTCCCCGAGAAGGCCTTCGACGGTCGCGAGCGCGACCGTCGACGCGTCGTCGAGGACCGTCGTTCGCGTCGGCGGCTCCATTTTCTCGAGCGCCTGGTAGACTTTGAGCCCCGCGAACGCGTCCAAGGCGGCGTACCTCTGCTGCTCTTCACTCAGAACTGGCGCCTCCCAGTCGCTGATTCGCGCGGAGTTCGTCTTCGGCAGCGCGCGGCCTAAAGTCCACTCCACGAGCGCGGCGAGCGAGAACGCTCTCGGCCCTTTCGCGGCGTCGGATGACGTTCTCTCCGCGGCGTGCGCTTTCAACTCGATCACGCCGGCGACGTGAAACGCAAAGTCGCGCGTGATCTTGTGCGCGTCCCCTCGCGCCTGCACACCCACTTTCTTGATGCTCGGATCCTCGAAGAACGCGCGCAGCGCGGGGGTCATCCCTCCCGCGCGGCACAGACGGAGCAAGATGCACACCGGCTTCGCCGGTCTCTTTCCCTCGCAACACAATTGCACGAGCGACGTCGGTCGTTCGCCGCGTCCCGCTTTGAAGGTGACGACCCACTCCAAGTCCCAGCCGACGACGCGAGAGTGACCGGGGACCGCGCACAAGCGCGTTATCCTCGCGACCGCGGCGTCGATCGCGGACGGGGACTCCGCGAGCACGACCTGTCCGTCGAATGTCAACTCCTCCAGAGCCACCAGCGAATTGGGAATTTGGCAACCGTCCAGATCTCCCGAGTCGTCGTCGTCGTCGCGCGCGGACGCTCCGACGAGAGACGGCGGTAAGCGACGTTTGCGCGTCGCGGACGTATCACGCGGCGCGTGTTCTTCGATATCGCTCCTCGAGACGCCCGCGGTCGCTTTCACGCCCTCGACTCCGCGCGTAACGACGGCGACGTTCGAGGGTGCATCGTTTTCGTTATCGTCGTTCCCGCGCGCGGCTTGGCGCTCGACGTGCCCTAAAGCCTCGAAAAACGAAGGCGAGGTCTCCTCCACGTCAAAAAATGCGACCGCGGCCATGGCGTCCATGCGCGTTTTGGTGACCTCCTCACGGTTTGGTTGGGAAGGTGCTGTGAAGAGTGAGAGGAAGAAACGCATCTCATTCGCCTTCCCGCGCCGCGTCCCGCCGTTTTTCCTGCGTCGTTTTTCGAACACGAACAACTTACACGCGACAAACGATATGGAGAAGCAATACCTACATTAATACTAAGCCTAAACCGCTCAAAACACGGAATCGTCGGAGTCGTCGTCGTCAGGGGGCGCGCCGAAGTCGTCGTAATCCACGCTCTGGTCCCCCTCGCCCCCCGCCTCGATCGCCTCGTCTGCGACGCCGTCCGTCGCCGCCGCCGGCGGCGACCCCGGCGCCGCCGGGGAAAAACCATCCCCGGGAACTGACACCATCGGACTCGACGGCGACACCGCGCTCGAGACCGCCACGGACGCTCGCGGCGTCTCGGTATCGCTCAGGTCGTCCGGCGTGTCGAAGTCGTCCTCCTCCCCGGGATCGTCGTACTTCGCCGCCAGCCGCGTCTGCACGGGATCGTCGACGCGCGCCGACGACGTCGAAACCGAAACCCGGGGGGGGTCGTCCGCCGCGTCCGCGTCCGCGTCCACGTCCGCGTCCAATCGCGGCGATCGAAATTCGAAGCTGTCGTCCTCATCGGGCTTCTTCGGCTCCGGGGCTCGGACGGCTTCCTCGACCTCGAAGTCGTCGTCGTCGTATTCGTCCGCGGCGACGTCGACCGGCGACGTTGCCGCGTCTTCCGCCCGCCGCGGCGACGGGCTCGGCGAATCATCCTTCAACTTCGCGTCGCTGAACTCGAACTCGTCGTCGTCGGCGAACGCGTCCGCCGCGAGACCTCGCCGCGGTTCTTGCGGCGGCTCGTCGACCGCCGCCGCGGTCGACGCCTGGGCTTTGTTTCCCGCGGTTCGACGCACGACCGGCGCGAGAAAGTTTTTCGACCGCGGACTCGCCGGTCCGCTCGGCCCTGGGAAGCCCGCGGCGCCGAAGCCTCCGCCGGCGAAGCCTCCACCGCTCGCGCCGGCGTTGACGGGAGCGATGCCGGATCGCTTCTTGAAACTCGCGCCTTGGATGACGGGCGGCGGCGCGCTGAAGCCGATCCCTAACCCGCCGTCGGCACCCGCTGCGCCGCCGCCGCGTTCGTCGTCGTCGCCAAAGTCGTCGAAGTCGCCGAAGATTTTCGCGCGAACCTCCGCTCGGACGATGCCGACGTCGCCGTCCTTCTTCGACGCTTTCCTCGCGAGCTTCTGCTCCAGCGTGAGCGGCACGTCGGACTCTAAGTCGTAGTCCTCGAGATCGGTGACGCGATTCTTGTTCGCCTTTTTCCGTCTCTTCGCTTCCGCGGCCGCCTCCTCCGCGGCGGCGGCCTCCGCGTCCGCGTTATATCCCGGCATCGTCGCCGGTCGCTGATCGTTTCCCTTCCCGCTGACTCGTTTCATCCCCGCTCGCGCGTCCGCCTCGAGGTCGTCGTCCTCCTCCTCGAGCGCGTTTCCATCTCCATCTCCTCCCCCGAAGAGCGGTGCCGAGTCTCGACCTCGCGCCCCCCACGCGTTCTTCTTCGCACGCGTCGACGCGTTCGCCTCGTCGACGCCGTCGTCCAGGCCGAACGAGCGCGCCTTTGGCACCGGTCTCGAGTCGCTCGAGCCGAACGCTTCCTTCGGCTTCCTCGGCGGTGTCGAGGGCGCGCCCGCGGTCGAACGTCCGCCGCTCTCGCGGTCCCCTCCCGGGGAGCCGTGGTCGCCCTCGGGAGGACCGATCTCCTCGACCGCGGTCGACGACTTCGACGAGCAGCACCCCATGCCGGCGCGGCGTGAGACGCTGTCACGCCGCTCGCGCACCGCTCGCGCGTCTCACACCGCTCGGCGCCCTGGACGAATGGAGACGGACGCGTTCGCGAATGCAGCGACACCAAACGTTTTTTGAGTCAACGGAAAAATAATGCGCTCGTCCGGAGGGAACGATCAAGGGACGAGGGGCGCGCTCGCGAAGATCCCATGTGCTGTATTATTCATTCAAACGTCTACTGTGTGTCCCTTTCGAACGCTAGTCCCTCGCCCCCCCCCACGCGACGTTTCCTCAGTCCGCGTCCATCGCGTCGTCGTCCTCCTCCTCGCTGCTCCCCTCCTCGGCTTCTTTCACGTTGAGCGTGAACTCGTACTCTTGGTCGCACCCGAGGTACGAGTCGCACATGAAGAACAGCGTGTACTCCACCTCCCCGGCGTCCGCGGGTGCTTGAAACTCGAGCTTCACCTTCTGCTTCCGCCCTAACGCGACGCGCTTGATCGCCGCGAGCGTCCCCTTCTTCGCGTCGCCGACGACGAGCCACCACGCCTCGTCCTTCTTTTTCGGAAACCGCGGCGCGATCACCGGCCCAATTTCGCCGTCGTCCGCCTCGCGCTCGAGCTGGACGATCATCTCCACCGCGTCCCCGGCTTCGACTTCGTCAGGGTTAACGATCTCGTAGTTCACCTCGATGTTCGGATACCGGTTGCACGCGGACGCGACGTCCTCCATCTGCGCGTCGGACAAAGCCAGCAGCTCGACGCGTTTGTCGTCGTCCATGTCGACTAAATCGTAGACGCTCTCCACGCCCGCGTCGGCGCACCGAGCCGCTGTCTCTTTATCGACGTGCGGCAGCTGCATGAGCGCGCTCTCCTTCTCCCACTGCCCTTGCGTGAGCATCTGCGACAGCTCCATCGCCGCGAGCGCGGGGGCGAGCCATCCAGACGAGGATATCACGTCCACGATCGCCTGGAGCAACCGCGTCGCGTCGGGGAGAATCGACGCGAGGTCGTTTTGCAGATCGCCGCTCAGACGCATCCGACCAAAGTGCGCTTGCATCAGCGCCGCGACCTTCACGTGCGGATCCGTCGTCCGACGATTCTCGAGCGTCACCGGGGAGTGGTGCAGCACGTGCCTCAGCGCGTTCGCCTCCCCGGGCCTGACCGCGTACTTTTCAAACTCCGTCGCGCCGGCGACGATCTCGAGCAGCCCTTTCAACTTGGTCTTCGCCGTCAACGACGCCGCGAAGAGCTCGATCGTGGTGTACGAGATGTAATAGTACGACCCAATCATACCGAGGTTGAGAGGCGTCACGTCCATGTCGTCCTCGATCGTGATGCACTTGGACGCTTCGAGATCCGCGAGCGTCGTTTCCACGAGCTCGGAGAGCGCGTCGGACAAGTGTCGGTGCGTCACGCCGGTGAGGTTGTAATAGTTCGGGTTTTGCGTCAGGCGGCGGTAGTAGAACGACCACGTGAGGTAGTCGACCGCGTCTTGCTTCGTCTCGATCGTCCTCGTCACGATCTCCGCGGCCATGTGGTCGTGTAAGAAGTGATCGAGGTGCGACTCCACCGGGAACGGCTCGTACAGAAACTTTTTGTAGTACTCCTTCCTCGGGGCGTGGCACAGCAGCACGCACACGCCGTGCGTGTCCACGAGCGGCCGCGACGCGCGGCCAGCCATCTGCAGAAGATCCGTCACGGGGTAATCCGCGCTCCCGGCGCCGCCGGCGTCGTAATACTGCGTCCCCATGATGATCGTCAGCTTACACGTCGCGGCGAGACCCCACGCGAGCGGCGCGGTCACGACCAACACGCTCGCCGCGCCAGAGTTGAAGACGCGTTCGACGACGTCGCGCTCCTCCGCGGGCAAGGACTCGTGCAGGAGCGCGACGCCAAAGCCGAGCGCGTGCCGCACCGCGGGGTCCGTGATTCGCTCCAGGTGCGGCGCGATGTCGTCCGCATCGCACGCGAGGAATTTATTCGGCTTTCCGTCCGCGGACGCGAACGTCAGAAGGTCGAGCGCGGCGAGCTTCGCGTGCTTTCGCGTCGGGACGAACACGATGGCGGGTTCGGAGTCGCCGGACGCGTGCTGGCAGATGGCGGAGTACACCGGCCTCGCCATCGCTTGCATCCTGGACTCGAAGTTCACGATGTCCACGCCCTGGACGTGTATGTCGAGCGGCACAGGCCTCACTCCCGGTGGAAAGTTGAACATCCCGTGCGAACCCGCGCCGAGCCACTCGCCGAGGTCCTTCGCGTTCGCGAGCGACGTGCACAAGCCGACGACGCGAATCGGCTTGTCGAGCTGCGAGCTGATGTAACGCATCCTGCTCGTGACCACCTCCATCGTCGGTCCGACGGCGCCGCCGATGAGGTGCAGCTCGTCCGCGATGAACAGCGCGACGTTTTGCACGTTCTTCCGCTGCTTCCATCGTCGGCTGATGACGTCCCACTGGTGCGGCGTCGCGATGACGACTTGTCCTCTCTCCAGAAGCTTGAGATCCGCGGCGGTCTCGCCCGTCAACGCGACGACGCGGACGCCGAGCGCGTCGCCCATGCGCGATTGCCAGTCGTTCAGGCGCTCCTTCGCGATCTCCGGCGTGGGCGCCATGTACACGCACCTCGCGCCCTCGGCCTCGCCTTTGTTCAGCTTGTTCAAAACGCGCAGGATCGCGAATTCGGCGCAGATCGTCTTCCCGCTCCCCGTGGGCGCGCCGACGAGCGCGTTGTCGTCCGTGTTGTACAGGCACTGAAACGTCTGCGTTTGCACCGGGTTGAAGTGCTGCAGGCGCGGGGCGTACAGCGCGTCGAATCCGTCTTGCTTGAGCGCGCTCACGGGCAGCGGCTGGAGGTCGAGCAGCTCCGTCGGCGGCGGGTGCTTCTCGGGCAAGAGCAAGTGCTTGAAGCTCACCGGAATCGTCGTCTCCGAGCCGAGCCAGCTGTCGGAGACTAAACGGACGAAGTACTGCGGCGGGAGCGGGTCGAGAAGGGTCACGGTGAACGACACCGCGTGGTCCTCCTCCGCGTTGACCATCTTGAGCAAGAAAAACTCGTGATGCAAGATCACCTCGCCGTCGTTGTCCTCGACCAACAACCAGAACCCCTGCGCGAACCCGTGTATCTTCTCGTCCCACTGGAAATCCGGCGTGAGCGTCAGGTCGACTTTGAGCACCGACCTCGTGATCGGCTGGACGTGCGCGCTGAGCTCGACGCGAGGGAACTGATGCACGAACTTGTGGATCGCCTTGCCCATCTTCGGAAAGCGAATCAGCTCGCCAATCTCCTGCGATGTGAGGTCGTAGTACCGCTCCCACGCGAGGTCTTTCCGCTCGACTTTCACGAGGATGTCCTGCGGGATCCCTTTGAACTGCCGCAGCGGCGTCTGGCTCCCCCACGTCCTCCGCGCGCCCATCTTGCACAGCGCTAACGCTTTATCCGCGAGCAGCGCCCACCCGCGCTTGAGGACGATTTCGAATATGCAGCGGAGAATTCTTCCCGCGGACTGCGTCACGTACACCATGTCCGCCATGAGCGCGAAACCTTCGAGCTTCATGCCGCTGATGTACGCCTGGAGCAGGATGTTGATCTTCGCCGTTGGCTCTTCGATGCTCTCTTTGACCGGGATCGGCACGCGCTCCGCGAGCTTCGCGAGCTCGAGTTTCTCTTCCTCTCTCACGGAGATGTACTTGAACTCCTCCGCGAGAGAGAACAAGCGAATGAGCTCGATATCTCCCATCGTCGGCTTGAGGTGTTCGTTAAACGCGGACACGGTGCCGTGGCTGATGTAGTAGTGCGACGCGATTTTCCCGAGATCCGTCGCTTGAAGCGTCCCGCTCCTACGATCGTACCGGCACAGCCCAGCTTTGTCGAGCGTCGTCGCCGCGGTGTGCACGAGGTCCGCGCGCCGTTGCTCCAGAGCCGGATCGTCGTCCAGGGCGTCGATGCCGACGCCGTAGAGGTTCGGGTTGCGTAACATGCGAACGTACAAGTACGTGTACCCGAGCCACGACACCGCCTCCTTCGTACCTTGCACCGTGCCGAGGACAACCTCCGCGTTGAGCGCGTCCGCGAGGTTGTTCACGAACTGCGACTCGATCGGGAGCTGCTGGTTCAGCAGCGACAGGTAGTACTGCAGCTCGCTGTGTTGCGTGATGATGATCCCCTCGCCGAACGTGTCGAACTGCGGCCGGCCGGCTCGTCCCATCATCTGCATGACGTCCTGGAACGAGAGCTCGTCCCACCCGCCCTTCTCGGGGTTGTACATCTGCGTGCCTTTGATGATGACCGTGTGCGCGGGGAGGTTCACCCCCCACGCGAGCGTCGCGGTGCTCACTAACACTTGCACGTGGCCGTCCGCGAAGAGCTCCTCGACTAACGTTCGGTCCGCTCGGCTCATCCCGGCGTGGTGAATCGCGAAGCCGTACGGCAAGATGTCGCGCAGATCCGCGGAGCGGCACTGCTCGGCTTCTGAGATGAGAATCTCCCGGCTCGCGCTGTCGTCTTTGATGAACTTCGACAGCGCCTCGTTCTGCAGCGCAGTGTCTCGCAGCGCTTTCGCCGTCTTCGCCGTCTCCTTCCGGCTGTGGACGAATATGATCGTCTGCGACTTCCCCGCGTTTTCCATCACCTTCTCGTAGCAGATGTCGTTCATGAGCTGGAACCTCTGAAGCGGCTTCTTCACCGTGACGCCGATGAACTGCTGCTGCAGCGGGCACGGGCGGAAGCTGTTGTCGAACACGAACAAACCTTTCGCGGGGTTCACGCGTAAGAACGACGCGACGTCTTCAAAGTTCGGCAGCGTCGCGGAGAGACCCACTAATCGGACGAGCTCTTGCGTCGTCTCCACCTGTCGAACCGTCCTCGCGACGATGGACTCGAGCACCGGTCCGCGGTTATCGTGAAGCAAGTGGATCTCGTCGATGATGAGCAGACGAACGAGTTGCGTGTACGTCCGATCCCCCGATTTGCGTGTGATGATGTCCCACTTCTCCGGGGTCGTGACGATGACCTGCGTGTCGTCGATCTGCGCGCGGCTCAGGGACACGTCCCCGGTGAGCTCTCGGACGTTGACGCCGTAGGGTTTGAGCCTCGCGCCCAGGTTACCGACCATCTCCGCGACGAGCGCCTTCATCGGCGCGACGTACACGATCTTAAACGCGCTCAAATCGAGGCTCCCGTCCTGCCTGCGGTGCAGGGCGAGCTCGTGGAGTATCGTCAGCATCGCGACGTTCGTCTTCCCCGCGCCCGTGGGCGCGCAGAGGAGAAGGTTCTCCGGCGAGAGCATCGCGGTCTCGTACACCTGGCTCTGCACGCGGTTCAAGGACTTCATGCCTTTAAACGCCGGGTGCGCCCAGGACGGAATCTCTTCGATCGTCCGCAGCGCCTCGTTGTCCGCGAACGCTTTCGGCTTGAGCGCGGGAATGTGCACCTCCTCGTACCCTTTCTTCGCGCTGCGGTACGACCCGGCCGGGAGCTCGCACCGTTTGTTCGCCATCAGACGGCTCCCCGCGGCGAACGCGAGGGCGTCGAGCTCGAGCATCTTCCGGCCCGCGGCGGCGGCGCCGTGCCCGGCGTCCGCGACGTCCGCGGCGACCTCGCCTCGGAGACGTCTCGCTTCCTCGCGAATCTTGCTCTCCATCTTCGACTCGCGCGCTCGCGCGCTCGCGCGCTCCCCCGTGAGCCTCATCGCGTCGAGAATCGCCGCCGCCTCCGGACGCGCGGACATCTGCTCCACGATCGCGTTCTTCTCGTCCTCGTCCTGCGCGCGCGCGAGTCGCGTGCACCACACCACCCTCGCTCGTGACTTTAACAGTTTCTTGATGAGGTCAAACTTGTCGTAGTCGAGCATGAGCACGAGGCGGTTCTCGCACGCGCGTTCGTCATCCTTCTCATCCGCGAGCGTGGACAGGACGTCGTCCGCGAGCTTTCTCGACTCGCTCGCCTCCGCGTCCGTGTATCCAAACGCGTGCGCGATCTCGCGCTGCAGCCAGTACGCGTCGATCTCGGACGCTTTCACGAGGTCGTGATCGACGTCGTCCGGGCCGAGATCGACGTCGACGCCTCTGACGCCGGCGCCTCTCGCGGCCTCGACGCCGCCGCCTTCGCCGTCCTCGTCCTCGTCGTCGACGTCGCTCGCTTCGAGGACTTCGTCGAGCTCGTTGGCCGCGTCCTCGTCTTCTTCTTCCTCGAACTCGACGGCGACGCCGATGTCGTCGTCGAGCGCGTCTCCGGGGGCGCCGCCGTCGCCGCCGCCGTCGCCGCCGCCGCCGCCCGGGGCGAAATCCGTCACCAGCTTCCCGAGCGCGACGTACTTCGCGAACGTCTCCGAGTCCGTCGGACCCATGAGCGCCTCGACTTTGGTCTTCCTCTCCGGGTCCGTGCTTCGCTCCTCTTTCAAGACCTCGAGGACCTCCTCCGCGGCGCCTCTCAGGACGTCCTGCGGCTGATCTCCGAACGAGCCTTGGATCATGCCCAGGAGCGCCTCGTACGCGGACCTCGTCTCGCGCGTCTTCGGTCGGTACGATCCGTCCGCGTCCGCGGTGAGGACGGACGCGCCGACCGCGGCCTTCTTGCGCTTCGCGGCGTACGCGTCGAGATCGTCCTGATCCATTCCCCCCTTGCGCTTATCCCGCGCGCGCTCTTTCGCTTTTTTCATGCGATCCTCGAGCTCCGCGGGTTTGCTCCGGTGCACGCGGTCGCCGAAAGCGCCGGGCTGGATCTTACCCCATAGCGTCTCGGGCTCGCCGGAAGGTTCGCCCGTGATCCGATCCTTCTTGTCCGCCGTGAGCACGAGGCTCGCGTTCTGTCGAGGAGAGAGCGGGGCGGGACGGGGGCGGTGAGAAGCGGCGGGGGATGAAAAGACGACGAAAGGCGGGCGCGGGCGTAATTCTTGGCGGCGGGACGCGCGCGGCGACGCGACGCACCGCTTTGTATTCATACTGTCTGAAGCGCGCGTGCGCCTCCGCGCCTCCGGCTTTATCGTCTTTCCGGCGATCGTCCTCGCCTCTGCCTCCTCCGGTGGGCATGGTCGTCGATCGCGGTTCGTGACTGCGCGACGCCCTCTGGATCCGCCCGCGCGTGGCGTGCTGTGGTCGACGAGCTCGTTCGGCTTTCGAATCGACGGGTGGAAGATGTCCTTCACCCTGTTGCTTGAAACGTCTATCGGTCAAAAGCGATGCTTGAAACCCGATATTTTTTTTCTCATCGATGAAACTGCCCTAGAGGCCGCGTGTCCCCCAAGCGGCGGGAAAATCAGGTGTTAGCGATGGGCGGCTGCGAGGTTCGGGCGGCTTGCGCGTCGTTCCTCACTGGCGATACACGCCACACTCGTGCGCAAACGAGATTCCACACGCGCTGCATCGAGCCTTTTATATCGATCATCGCGTGCTAGAACACGCGCGACACTCGCTCGCGGACGACACGGATCGCCCGCGCACGCAAATAAATTACCTATCAATCGACTTTCGTCCCCGCGCCGTCCTCGAGGAAGGAACGATGGCGCGGCGCGACGAACCGCGCCCGAAAGGGCGCCGCCACCGCGCGCTCGGTGGCCTAATATTACACGCGAGCAGCGCGACGACTCGACTCGCGAAGATATGCTTGCTGCTGATGACCATGGCCGCGTTCTTCGTCGGAACCGCGACCGGAGGTGCGCGGCCCGCGCCGTGTTCGCGCTCGATCTGTTTCCCGCGCCCGCGCGCGCGAGGCGCCGCGGCGATCATTTCGGCGAGGGTTTCGTCCCGGCGACGCGCGAGCGACGCGTCGCGTGCCTTCGCACCGCGCCACCGCGCGGATCGTCTTCGCGCACGCTCGAGCGCTCGCGGCGAACCAGCGACGGCACGTCCGAACCTCGAGGACACTTGTCCGAACCTTCTCGTCTCGTCCCGATCGTCTTCGTGAATGCATCTTTCCCTCTTCTACTTCTCTCCCGTCTCGTCGCAGGCACGCTCCTTGAAAAAGGCGTCGCGCGCTCCGGGATGATAGGCATCGGCAACTACAAGTACTACGTCATCAAGCTCAGCTGCGTGGAAGCGGCGCAGAAGATGACGTTCACGCTCACGGCGCTTAACGGGAACCCAGACTTATACATCTCCCAGACGCTTCGGAACCCGTCCACGGTGGGATACACGTGGAAGTCCGAGAGCACGTCGTCCACGGACGTGATCGAGATCGCCGCGCCCGCGGCGGGTAATTATTACATAGCCGTCTACGGCACGTCCTCTGCGACGTTCAAGCTCACCGCGTTCACGAAGATGTGGACGGGGAAGCACCCGTGCACGGGGTTCAGACTGATGGACAACGACGTCGTCGAGGTAAACACGGACGGCAGCTTCCTGCTCGAGAACCACATGACAGTCACGGGAGCTGTAAACTTCGAAGATAACCTCAACGTAATGCAGGACGTCACCCTGGGCGACACGACCGCGAACACGATTCAGGCGAAGGCGAAGCTCAAGCTCGGCGTCGCCGCGGAGGGAGAATACGTGATTAACCGACAAGACGTGAGGAACGCGACCGCGGGCTCGCTCACGATCAGAGGAGCGCACGCGGTCGGCGGTTTAGCGGGAAACGTCACCTTGATCGCGGGTCAAGGTACGGACGGAAGAGGCGGAGGCATGAACATCTTCAGCGGCGCCGCGAACGAGGCGGACGCGGGGGACTTGACGCTCGGGACGGGAAGAGCGTTAGGAGGCCGGGCGGGTAACCTGACCCTCTACGTCGATCGAGGCGACGTAGGAGTGGGAGGTAACGTGACCGTGACCGCGGGCGCGACCACGGCCGGGGACATGCCAGGCGGGAGCGTGAACGTGAAGGCTGGGGTAGGCGAAAACGTCACCGGCGGAAGAGGCGGGGTTGTTCAGATCGACGGAGGCGAGGCGCGAGGAAACCTCGAGTGCGATCTCGCGGAGTACAACTGCTCCGGGCTGAACATCAGCGTGTCCATGTACGAGGCCGTGTTGGGCGGATGCACGAGCGACTGCAACTTCAATTTGAGCGCGAGCGCGGCGTTCAACGGGACGTACCTGTGCGGAACCATGGACGTGACCAGGGCAGAATATCTCGCCGTGATGGGCGGTTGCACCCAGAAATGCTTGGGAGGCGCAGTCGAGATCACGGGGGGGCTCTCCTCTGGGGGCGTGGGCGGTGCGGTGGTGCTCACGGGTGGCGAGACCAACAGCTCGGACGCCTACGGGCGCGGAGGTAATGTGGAAGTGCGCGGTGGAAAAGCCAGGACGGGGAGCGGTGGATCACTCGTGTTAACTAGCGGCAGGAGCGACGCGTTGTCGAGCGGCGACGTGGTCGTCAGAACCGAGAGCAGCGGCCGCGCTGGTGTGAGTGGCGGTGTCGTCGTGGAGACTGGCACCGCGTGCGCCGGTGATAGCGGTGGGATCACGTTAGGGACGGGATCAGCGGCATCCGGAGGAGGCGGCGACGTGAACCTCCTCGTCGGTTCCGGAGACTCCGAGAACGGCGGGGCTGTTGTGATGAAAGCAGGAGAGACTGGCGCGGACGCGAAGCAGGGCGGAGGCGTGTTCATCACATCCGGTGGCGGAAATAGCGCCCAGGGTGGCGTCGGTGGTGAGTTAGTGATGATGGCTGGCAACGCCGAAGGCGCGGCGGGTGGTGATGGAGGACGCGTCGAGATCCGAGGAGGCAAGGCTGTCGGCGGCAGAGGCGGTGACGTGTCCGTAGCCGCGGGCAATAGCTTTACGGGAGATGGTGGAGCGCTCGTGTTGCAGGGTGGATACTCCGAGCACGCGAGCGGCGGCGACGTGATAATCGACGCGGGCGACAGCGGGACAGGAGACTCTACGAAGGAAGGGCTCATCCGCATCGCGCCAACAAGTGCGTCGTTTGTGAGAATCGGTCGCAGCGGTTCCAAAACCGTGAGGACCGACGTTTTCGGCGACCTCACCGTGCACGGTAACTTCGTGTCCACCAGCAGCATGGTGTACCAGGACACGTACACGAATCGCGTGCACGTCACCACTGAGCAAGACCTGATGATTCAAGAAGAAATGCGCGTCCCGAAGGTGACAGGTCTAGACGTGGAGGATGTTCGCGACAGTGCCACGAGCACGCTAACGCTCGACGCCGGTATGGGCGGAACCGAGCAGCACATCGAGATTGGACCATGGGAGGCGACAGAGATAAACATCGGTGGCAAGAACGCTGGAGGCGCGTACGGCGCGCGCGATGCGACGCCCCTCCTTATTCGGCAAGGATACGATGAGGCCGACAAGCGACTGCAGATGAACTCGACCGGCGCGATCATGATGCAAAGCGCTGCATCTCAACCGATTTTGATTCATACTAACCCGACGAGAGGGACTTCTGATACTGGCGGTGAAATCAAAGTTTTGGTTGGATCTGGGGACACGGGTCACGGTGGGAATATCACTATAACATCAGGTGACACCGTCGACGCTCGACACCGAGGAGGGACCTTGCAACTCACGGCTGGTGGGAACAACAACACGGTCGGTGGTCGCGGTGGGGTGGTGAAAGTCGCGGGAGGTTTTGCCGGGGGAACCTCGGATTGCGATCTCGCGGAGTACAACTGCTCCGGGCTGAACATCAGCGTGTCAATGTACGAGGCCGTGTTGGGCGGATGCACGAGCGACTGCAACTTCAATTTGAGCGCGAGCGCGGCGTTCAACGGGACGTACCTGTGCGGAACCATGGACGTGACCAGGGCAGAATATCTCGCCGTGATGGGCGGTTGCACCCAGAAATGCTTGGGAGGCGCAGTCGAGATCACGGGGGGGCTCTCCTCTGGGGGCGTGGGCGGTGCGGTGGTGCTCACGGGTGGCGAGACCAACAGCTCGGACGCCTACGGGCGCGGAGGTAATGTGGAAGTGCGCGGTGGAAAAGCCAGGACGGGGAGCGGTGGATCACTCGTGTTAACTAGCGGCAGGAGCGACGCGTTGTCGAGCGGCGACGTGGTCGTCAGAACCGAGAGCAGCGGCCGCGCTGGTGTGAGTGGCGGTGTCGTCGTGGAGACTGGCACCGCGTGCGCCGGTGATAGCGGTGGGATCACGTTAGGGACGGGATCAGCGGCATCCGGAGGAGGCGGCGACGTGAACCTCCTCGTCGGTTCCGGAGACTCCGAGAACGGCGGGGCTGTTGTGATGAAAGCAGGAGAGACTGGCGCGGACGCGAAGCAGGGCGGAGGCGTGTTCATCACATCCGGTGGCGGAAATAGCGCCCAGGGTGGCGTCGGTGGTGAGTTAGTGATGATGGCTGGCAACGCCGAAGGCGCGGCGGGTGGTGATGGAGGACGCGTCGAGATCCGAGGAGGCAAGGCTGTCGGCGGCAGAGGCGGTGACGTGTCCGTAGCCGCGGGCAACAGCTTTACGGGAGATGGTGGAGCGCTCGTGTTGCAGGGTGGATACTCCGAGCACGCGAGCGGCGGCGACGTGATAATCGACGCGGGCGACAGCGGGACAGGAGACTCTACGAAGGAAGGGCTCATCCGCATCGCGCCAACAAGTGCGTCGTTTGTGAGAATCGGTCGCAGCGGTTCCAAAACCGTGAGGACCGACGTTTTCGGCGACCTCACCGTGCACGGTAACTTCGTGTCCACCAGCAGCATGGTGTACCAGGACACGTACACGAATCGCGTGCACGTCACCACTGAGCAAGACCTGATGATTCAAGAAGAAATGCGCGTCCCGAAGGTGACAGGTCTAGACGTGGAGGATGTTCGCGACAGTGCCACGAGCACGCTAACGCTCGACGCCGGTATGGGCGGAACCGAGCAGCACATCGAGATTGGACCATGGGAGGCGACAGAGATAAACATCGGTGGCAAGAACGCTGGAGGCGCGTACGGTGCCCGCAGCGCTTCGCCAATACTGATAAGGCAAGGATACGCAGAAGAGGACAAACGACTGCAGATGAACTCAACCGGCGCGATCATGATGCAAAGCGCTGCATCTCAACCGATCTTGATCCACACAAATCCAGCCACCGGCGTGAACAGTGCCACCGGTATCAGTGGGACCATGACTTTGGCGACCGG